TGAACAGATCTATAATCAGCAAAGAAATGGAATGGGTTATCAAAAATCTCCCAACAAATAAGCCATGGGCCAGATGCCTTCCCAGGGGAATTCTACCAGACATTTAAAGCAGAGTTAATATCTATTCTTCTTAAGCTGTTTCAAAAAATAGAAATGGAAAGAAAGCTTCTGGACTCATTCTACAAAGCCAGTATTACCTTGATTCTCAAACCAAAGACCCCACTAAAAAGGAGAGTTACAGGCCAATATCCCTGATGAACATGGATGCAAAAAATTCTCAACAAGATAATCAGCAAATCAAATTCAACAGTATATTAAAGGATTATTCACCATGATCAAGCCCAATCCGGAGCTGCAGGGCTGGTTTAATATTTGCAACTCAACCAACGAGATACATCCAGTAAGAGAAGAAAGGATAAAAACCATATGACCCTTCTGGTAGATGCAGAAAAAACACTGGACAAAATTTAGCATCATTTTTTAATAAAAACCCTCGAGGAAGTCAGGATAGGAGGAACATACCTTATATCATAAAGGCCATCTATGAAAGGCCCACAGGTAAAATCATCCTCAATGGGGAAAAACTGAGAGCTTTTCCCCTGAGATCAGAAACATGACAGGGATGTCCACTCTCACCACTGTGGTTTAATATAGTGTTGGAAGTCCTAGCCACAGCAATCCAACAACAAAACAAAATAAAAAAGGATCCAAATTGGCAAAGAATGTCAAACTTTCACTTCTCACAAATGACATGATACTCTATATGGAAACCCAACAGACTCAACCAAAAGTCTGCTAGAACTAATACATAAATTCAGCAAAGTTGTAGGATATAAAAACAACACAAAGAAATGAGTTGCAATTCCATATACCAATAATGAAGCAACAGAAAGAGTTCTCGAGGGATTTATCCCATTTACAAATGCACCAAGGACCATAAAATACCTAGGAATAAAACTTAACCAAAGAGGTAAAAGATCTGTACACTGAAAAGTATAGAAATCTACTGAAAGAAATTGAAGAATATACAAAGAAATGGAAAAAAAATCCATTCTCACAGATTGGAATAACAAATATTGTTAAAATGTCAATGCTACACAAAGCAATCTACACATTGAATGCAATCCCAATCAAAATAGCACCAGCATTCTTCACAGAGCTAGAGCAAACAATCTTAAAGTTTGTATGGAACCACAAAAGACCCTGAGAAGCCAAAGTAATGTTGAAAAAGAAAACCCAACTGGAGGTATCACAATCCCAGACTTTAGCCTGTACTACAAAGCTGTAATCATCCAGACAGTAAGACTGGAACAAAAATAGACACATAGAACAGTGCAATAGAATAGAGAACCCAGAACTGGACCCACAAATGTATGACCAACTAATCTTTGAGAAAGCGGGAAAGAGTATCCAATGGAAAAAAAGTCTCTTTAGCAAATGGTGCTGGGAGAACTGGATAGCAGCATATAGAAGAATGAAACTGTGTATTTTCTTTTATCATACACGAAAATAAATTCAAAATGGATGAAAGACCTAAAAGTGAGACAGGAAACCATCAAAATCCTAGAGATGAAAAACAGGCAGCAGTCTCTTTGACCTTGACTGCAGCAACTTCTTACTTGACAGGTCTCCAAAGGCAAGGGAAGTAAAGCAAAAATGAACCATTAGGACCTCATCAAGATAAAAAGCCTCTGACAGCAAAGGAAACAATCAACAAAAGTAAAAGGCAACCAATGGAATGGAAGAAGCTATTTGCAAATGACATATCAGATTAAGGGTCAGTATCCAAAATCTATAAAGAACTTATCAAACTCAACACCCAAATAACAAATACTCCAGTGAAGAAATGGGCAAAAGGCAAGACTAGACACCTTTCCAAAGAAGACATTCAGATGGCTAATAGACACATGAAAAGATGTTTAACATCTCTCATCATCCGGGAAATACAAATGAAAACCACATTGAGATCCCAACTCACACTGGTCAGAGTGGCTAAATTTAGGAACTCAAGGAACAACAGATGTTGGCGAGGATGTGGAGAAAGGCAAACCCTCTTGCTCTGTTGGTGGAAATGCACACTGGTGCAGCCACTCTGGAAAACAGTGTGAGGTTCCTCAAAAAACTAAAAACAGAATTGCTCTATGACCCAGCAATTGCACTACTAGGTATTTATCCAAAGGATACAGGGGTGCTGTTTTGAAGGGGCATATGGACCCCAGTATTTATAGCAGCACTATCAACAATAGCCAAAGTATGGAAAGAGCCCAAATGTCCATCAAGTGATGAAATGATAAAGAAGATGTGGCATATATACCCAATGGAATACTACTTGGCAGTGAAAAAGGATGAAATCTTGCCAATTTGCAACAATGTAGATGGAAGTGGAGGATATTATGCTAAGTGAAATAAGTCAGAGAAAGACAGATATCATGTTTTTGCTCATATGTGGAATTTGAGAAACTTAACAGAAGACGATAGGGGAAGGGAAGGAAAAATAAATTACAAACAGAGAGGGAAGCCAACCATAAAAGACCCTTAAATACAGAGAACAAACTGAGGGTTGATGGAGGGCAAATGGGTGGGGGTGGGGAAATGGGTGATGGGCCTTGAGGAGGGCACTTGTTTGGATAAGCACTGGGTGTTGTATGTAAGTGATGAATCCTAAGAATCTACTTACGAAGTGAAGACTACACTGTATACACTGTATGTTAGCTAACTTGACAATAAGTTATTTAAAAAAAAGATGTTAAGAATGGGCTTATTCCATATTTAATATTGAGGTATCAGGGTTACAAAAACAGATTTAGGAAGTGAAGTTAAATAATTTCCCTCATCTGTATAGTCTTAAGTTTTGTTTTGATTGCAGTGTGTTGGTTGGAATTTCTATGGAGTGCTCAATGGCTTAGAACATGGTCCTAAAACTCATGGCTCAGAGGTCCCAGTCCTAAAATCATGACATTTAATTAGCTATGATAGAATCCTAGAAAATGTACCTAGTAAATCCTGTTAGCTCTGAGTAGGTCTGAAGAGAGAGAGAGAGAGAGAAACAAAATCTAGATGATACAGCACATATAATCACTACCATTAAAAGATGAAATGAGGTTTCATAATTCTATGAAGAAAAGGCTAATCAGTAGCTTTGCCTTTAGTTACAAGAGATTCTATAGTACAGTCATAAAAGTAAAAATTAAAATACGTATTAAATGTATACATGTAAATAAATATACAACATCCACATAAAACATATATTTATGTATTTTTATGTATAAGACTAAAAACTTAATTATCAGATAGTAATCAAATTTGGCTTCTGATCTACAATAAATTCTGTTTACTAGAAGACACTGATTATAATTAATTATTAATTTCCCCAAGGATAAAACTAAAATAACTATCAAATAAGCTTCACTGGAAAAATTATATCAAATTCAAGATGTATTTTTAGAAAATAAAATTCAGACAAAAGTAAGTTAAAAATAATTCTTCATGTGATAATATGCATCATAGAGAAAAATATCTTGTCAATCATCATCAACATCACTGTCATCATCATCATGTTAATAGCAATCATCTATATAGTACTAATTATGTGACAAGAAATATTAACACAAACATAATATATGTGCGTATATATGTATACATATATACATACATATATACATATATTTCTCACTAAAACCTCATGAAATAAAGGGGTCAGAGAAGCTAAGAGGCTAATAAGCAATAGGAACAAGATTAAAACCCAGGCAATGTAACTCCACAGCAAATACTCTTTATCACTTCATTAATAAGAGATGAAATGGTACCATAGGAGCAATGTTTTTGCAAAGCAGATTTGTGTTTTATGGATAGAGAAAGTTAAAGCTAGTTAAGACTGACCAACTTTTTGGTCTAATAGCAAGTGAGTGAAGAAAGACAGAGTGATCTAAATTTCTTGGCTTTCTCCTAGAACTGTTCTTAATAGAACTAAAGGTGGTGTTTTGGTGTAGGAGGAGTTGAAGAAACAACTCTGATATATATGGATTTTTACTCAAGTTAATTCCTTAGGTTACTAAGATGAATTAGAAAGCTAATATGACTTCATTGAAAACCAGATTATTGCTGTCTACCTGATAAAAGTATCTTCCAAATTTCATTCAAATGTTATTCATGCAGTTCAAATCTTTATGGTAGATACCACTGTAAAAGATAGGGCATCTAGATAGGTGCTTATGATTCTTTTCAAATATAAAGCTTCAATTATATCCTACTGTGCCAGTACTTGACTTTTTTGTTGTATGGGAATGAGCCAGGACCCATAAAAATAAGTATTTATCTGTCAATTTTCTCCCAGGTTACTTCAAAATATAAAATACACCGTAAATTGACATGCCCTAAAACAAAGAAAGGATAGTCTATAACCACAGATCTAAACAAATGTTCTAGTTTATTTTTTCTCAAAAGGAATAACCATGATAATCAACATGTCCATCATATACCAGCAAACAATAATGCTCTTTTTAGGATGTTTCCTGAAATATAGTTATCAAGAGTCAGAAGAAATGGTTCCATGATTGAGTTGATCTCTTCCCCTAGAAGAGAAGTATATTTATGATATGGTTCAAAATGAAATGATATTCCCTGCATGGCTTTGACAGCTTATTTTCTAATGTGGAAAAGTAATGATTGCCAATCTCATCTCATGGGGGAAAAATTCACGTTCATAATATAAAGTTAAATACTGCAAAATATAAAATGCACTAGAAGCATTGCCATTCTTGTGTAGCTAGAGCAAATGTATTAAAACAAAAACATAGTATCATACAATTAAATCATGCAGCTGTGAGAATAAATGAGTAGGGAAATGTTTTATTTTTATATAGGAAGAATACTGGGAAAAATTATTGAATATATTAAATTACCTCTTATAGTCAGATATTGTGACTGATAGATTTAAAAAGTAAACAACACAGGGAGGTGGAAAGTTATGAGCCTTCAAATAGTCAATGTTATTTACTTACAATCAAGCCACTGTTTGCTTGCCTTTTTTCTCTGCCATGGATCCTTTTGTAGAAAATTCCACCTGGATTAAACTGAGTACTCCAAATAATCATATCTCTTTGATAATATACATCCATCCCTGTTATCCTTGAATTATGTTCAATATGAGAAATTTGTTGATGATCGCCACTGTAGTTGAATGGATATATAAAACCCAGGATATCAGTGTCATTAGCAATGTAGAGAACTTGATCTTCAGAGCCTGGAGATTATTATAATAAAATACAAAAATAAAGTAAATTTCAACTAATGTAAAAGCAAAAATTGCACTTTTAAATTATCTTGAATTATTATTCTTAACACAGTTTCTTGCTCAATAAAAATCAACCAACTTGGTATCATGTTTTTAGTCTTCATGATTTATTTCTAATACACACTTACCCAAACACTTCTAAGAGTTCTTGATGCTGGTTTTTCCAGGGCGAAACTTAGCTTATGGGTAGAAATTAGGTATTTAGAGTAGACATTCTATTTATACAGAAGGATTTCTATTTGATAAATTGCAATGCATTATGTTCTAGTGCTTTAATTCAGAATATTCAGATGCTATAGTGTGTACTCATTAAGCCTCAAACATTCCTGAGATTTAGGTTTATGCATCTGAGTTGCTTTAGGTTAAGAAATTAAAATTCAGAGATGGTGAGTCTTCTAATATTTATGTATCTCCAATATTTTATTTTTTATTATAAAAAGATATCAGCATTTACTACATTGATGCGTCATGATGTCAGTATCTTCTAGAGTCCTGCTAGTGGATCCTTGTAGCCTGAAGCTTTGATACATACAATACAATACTAATGTCCTTTGCAAACTGAGACAAGTAAAACCCTAATGTGAATTCTGAATATATTAATTAAAATATTAAAAAAAACATAAAGATTAAATTAAATATATACTATCTGCAAATTAAACAAACAAGTATAGTTCATCACTACAGGTTTAATTGTTCTCACTTGGTTATGTTAGCTATGTTATGGCAGTCACTGTGTTAATACCTTCACAATCTATCTCCTTTTCTTACAACAACCATGGAAAGCAGGGATTCATATTTCCATTTTACACATGAGGAACTGTGGCTCAGAGAGTTTAATAACTTCCCTGATGCTACAGATTGGAAAGGAGGGGAAATGCTAGGATTCAAATTCAAGTACATCTACCTCTACACCCCATCCTTAATCCACTCTATCATGTTGTTTTCTACTTGCAGTAACTGTCCTATGAACATTGTCCAGTTATGCTCTGCAACTAACAATATGTTACAATATTATATACTAAAAACATTAGCAATAAAATCCATATCTAAAAAAACCCAAATACCTGACATTAAGTTTTCAAATTAAAGTCCTAAGTAAAAACGAGGTCTAAATTAAAGCAGGAAATTATTTTAAAACTTTTTAAATTCTTACTCAAAATTCCATTCTCCTTATAATGCTACCTTTAACCTGTTATTGATTTTCCATTGGTATAATAATATTTCTCAAATACACTGACAGCAGGCCACAAAGAATGATACTTTATGTTCTATCACATTGGCTTTTAAACTTTTCCCTCCTTCTGACAGATTTTTTCAAATACAAAATGATCATAACAGTAACCATGTACATGACAATCATGCTAAAAATATCCCAGATTAATTAAGAATGATAACTAATCAACTGGGCAAATTAGTTGGTACTAAAAAGAGATTTATTTATATTTTCTGGCATTATTGCTAAAATATAACACCAAACACTGTTTTCCCCATAAGACATTTATAGAAGTTAAAATAGCACTTGAAATAATTGTTAAAACCTTACCTTTTGCTATGCAGGTGTTGTTCCTTTCCTGAAAATTGTGGTCACACATACATTTATATGACCCTTCCATATTTATACACTGATGGGAACATGTGCCAAACACCAAACATTCATTAAGGTCTAGAAAAGAAGAGCTCAAAATAGCATCATCATACCCCAATAAGACTCCTATTCTTCCACATTTTAAAAAAGATGAATTTATTTTTCTTCCTTTAACTTTTTTATACTTATTTCCTTTATTGTCTTTTTAAAACTCTCAAGTCTGTGACTTGCTGGGTCATATTTTTTGGCCATAACAATTATTTTTTCATAATATTTTCATCATAATAATTCATCAAATTGCTTTTTAATCTAAAACTCTAAAATCTCTCTTCAAACTTCCTTAGTATTTTCATTCACTCAAACAAACAAGTACTTCTTTAGGTTTCCTTTTAATCAGGTAACTGATTACATACATCCATACCTTTGTACATATCATATAGTGTCCCATAATCCTCTTGCCCACCTTGACATAGAGAATTTATACTCATTTCTCAACATCTACTGGAAGTAAAATCTTCATTGTTCTCCATCAATGGATAGTAGTGACTATCCATCCCATAGTTTCTCTACTGTTATCTCTCTTACAGCCCTGTATATACTATATTTCATATATGTAGTCATATATGAAATAGTCATATATTCATATTCCCTACTTGACTGTCAGTCCCTTGAGGGTTTAAATTATTATTTATTTATTTTATTCCCTGCATTTTACATAATTCCTGGCAAAAACTGAAATTATAGCTACACCCATAACACACTTCCGGCTTCTTATATATGATGTGATGATGTTACAAGAAGATCTATGTGAAATAAACAACAGCAACAAAACTATGCATGTCTATAAATAAATAAATATAGGTACCTAGTAAATAAATAAATAAATCACAGGCAATATTCTGTGGCTTAGCACATGCCTCCAATTTTAATGGCTTAAGCAGGGTCAGCAATGACATCAGGTGATTCAGGTGAATTACTACTTTCTCAGTCAGCATAATTCCTCTGCTCCTTTTATCATGTATAGTTGCCCTAATTATGTAATAAATCTGTGAGATAAATCCTTCTTTTGAATTAGAAAATTTAAGGATAAGCTAAGCAATAATAATTATCTTTCATTTAACTCTCAACTGTGTTCTAAATCCTCAGTGGTGGAGATCTGGACTTTCCCAGAAACACTTGAAAATGACAGTGGGAGGCTTTGTGATGCTGTCGTCTCTACTGTGATCCTTTGCCCAAGTTGAACTTAAGTACTTTCACAATTCATTTCTGTGTTGGATTGAAACGTAGGGCAAAGAGATGAAAACTGTATTGTTAGCGAATACTGTGCTAGGGATTAAGCAAAGTGTATCTTATCAGGATTTAGCTATCAAAAAAGCATTACAATAAATATACTTGATTTGTTCGACACCTGTAACTTTGAACAGGATGTTATTTGATTTTTTGGTTTTCTTTTGGTGCAGATTCAAAAGCCTTCCCATGTTCTCATATTGGCCAGAATCACCATTTTCTTCTTGTCTCTCATCTCTATAATAATGCCAGGGTGTCGTCTGGGTGGCTCAGTTGGTACAGCGTGTGACTGTTGATCTCAGGGTTGTGAGTCCACTTTGGGCATGTTGATTACTTAAAAATACACATACATTTTCACTATTTATGTGTATGCTAATCTCTGTACCATAAGCTTTTGAAGGGAGTGGAAGAAATTTGACACATGTCCAGTACATAGAACAGTGCCTGGCACATAGTGACTGTTAATCCATTTCTACTTCTCTGCAGCAATTTTCCTTAATTTGTCCTCCCTTTATATATTTTAATTAAAATGTTTTGACTCATACATCAAATAATGATTTCTTATTCTCTTTTTGAGCTATATAGGAAGAGCACAAACACATTTGAATTCTTTGAATTATGAATCAAAGTAATGTCTTCCCTTTCCTCTGCAAAATCAAATTGCTCTTCTTTACCATCAAAACTTCATTTAGTAAAGATACAAATTTTACTGGAGTTCAGAAATTGCTAATTTGCACAACAAAAATACTGGATTTGTAGCAACTTAAAATGAAGAGTATAGTTGCAGCTTATACTTGCCAAAGAATATAATTAAAAATAAAGAACTTTTGAGAATGGGAGTTTTAGATTTAGTAAGTATATATAGGAAATAGACCGCATTATTCACAAATAAATGTTAGAAAATTAATGTTATTTGAAATGAAAATCGTGAAGAGGGTTTGTGTGCGTGTGCGCATGTCTGTGCATATGCATGTGTGTATTTATATACAATTGACAGAAAGTATCTGGGGGAAAGGAAATAATATAGTCGAGAAATAATTTGCTTTTTTTTAGTAAAACAGAGAAAACATAAGCTGTCAGTTTTCAGTGTTACATGTTAATGTAGAAATAAAACGTCATGAATAATCGATACAGGTATATAATTAAAAATGTATATAAATATGATGTGGCCATACTTCTTATACTTTTGGGTGAATATAATTAGTTCATTTCAATAATCTCATTTTGATTAACACAACACAAAATCACTTTTCTTTACCCAAAAATACCATAGACAGTGGAGAAGAAAGCTGGTATGGGAAACCACTTTACCACTTGAATTTAGCCTACATAAGCCAGACTTATACAATTTAGGTTTGGTTCTAATCACAATGGTATCAATTTTAATGTAGAAACTGGTAGTATGTACATATAGGTCTGTATTTCATGGTTCTATAGTTAAAGCCCTGATGTATGTTGTATTTAATGAGATCCCAGCTATTCTATATGCTTAATTTTTAAATGATTTCAAGTAAGTTGACAGAGATTTACTTAGATCCTGTCTTTAAATTTTAGAAGGCCCTCTTGATAATATAAAGCGGTGTTTGAGACATGGTGTTAGGACAAAAGCCCACAGTTCTCTCAAAGTGAATTACCTATTTCAGTACTGCAAATGCCACAACTCAAGAGAAATAGGTCATCAAAAACATGTTCTTTTATGAAGTGCCTCTAATTCTCCAATAGTTCCTGAACCAGCAATTTTATTATTTGCATTTCAAAACAGAGTTGTAACAGTACAATTGAAATTCTTACAGGTCTGAATATGCTATAAAAAAAGGCTTTGTAGCCCTAGAGATGGTTAGTTTAGCCATGCAAACAAACAGGCTCTTGACCCCAGGGACTTTCACTCTTGTAGGTAAAATGGTATCCCATAGATACACACCATTCTGATGAAAATCAATCCCATGTCATCTCACAATTTAGCAGCCTCCTGAGTCTTTTATTACCTAAAGATTTAAGAGCAAGCTGTTGAGGAAGTGTACTATACCTTCACACTGTCTGTTTTTCATGTTTCTCTGAAATCCAGGCTTACAGCGACAAAAAACAGATGTTTTTATTTGATTACAATATGCACCATCTCCACATGGATTCACATTATCTTCACAGGTATATTCAGCAGGAGCTAGGATTTAAAAATACCATCAAAACTAATATAATTCTAATTCCTGAACTGGGAATTTACTTTTTTCTTAATTTGAAATTATATTTATTATTCCATAGATAACTCTTCTTGAATCTACAAGATTTTATATAAGCCCTTATTTCTTACACAGGTATAGAGGCAGATAAAAAAATGTGCTAATTTATATTGAATATAGTTTGGGCCAAACTGTCAGTAGCTGATATTTACAGTTTTTACTGAAGTACACTACTTTGTAAAATTAGGTCAAAAGTCAATATTTCTAATGACAAGTTATCATTGCAATGTATGATATATGAGTACTACATCTTTCTCTAGGAACCAAACGGTTTCCTAGAAGCTAACTAGAGATGTGGGCGTTTATTGTTAACCTAAAAATTTAGTATTCAGGAATTCGGTCAAAGGTACTACCATGTTACTCAAGCAAGTATGCCAAATCATCAGTTCTTAAAATTTTTCTTTTAGCCTGGCAATATATATGAGGAGTAACACACTCCATAGGTCATGGACTCTTAACACAAGCTAGGACAGTCTATGTGTTGTTTATAATTTCCAGCATAGTAGTTGTAATTTCATAGGTTTATCTCCCATTGCAGAAAACATTTTTTTTTTTTAAATAGGCTTTACAGTCAGAATGGAACCCAGCTACGGGCGTGAACTCATGACTCTGAGATGAAGACCTGAGCTTAGATCAAGAGTCAGATGCTTAACTGACTAAGCCACGCAGGCACCCTTCCAGAAAACATTTTAGAATGCAAATAAATAAGGGGAGCATTATTATAAGAGTGACACTGAATTAGCTCTATTTTACTTACATATATCAAATTATTTTGGAATACAAGAACTTTAAGGGGCAAGATGGCGGAGAAGCAGGGAACTCGGTTCATTGCACTCGCCCCCATATCTCGCAGGGAGAAGACCTGAAGCCATAGGAACCCTTACAGAATCCAGGAGTTTGGGAGTAAAAAGAGTCAGAGTCCGCTGAGAAAACCTTCTAATGTGAGTGCGAACTGGGGAAGATAAAATCGGGCCTGGACCAGAGACTCAGAAGAACAGAGGCGATCCCCCTCTGCAGGGAGTGAGAGGGGAAAGAGAGTGTCTGAAACTGCTCAACACATGGTCCCTGTAGCTGGGAAACAGAAAAACCTCCTCTCAGGACACAGAGTGACCCAGTTTCTTGCTCTCCAGCAGAGCCTAAGCGGGACTCTCTTGTCCCAAATAATCCCCAGTAAAACAACTCCCTGTGCCTCAACTCCCTGCAGGCACCAAATGAACCTGAAGGGGCCTTGCTGACCACGCCTTTGTGCTTCTGGCTTGGCTGGATCCCTTGAGGGGAGGTGAAGGGCTTAAAACTGGGAGATTTGCCCCCGAATTCATGTTTTGGGTGCTGAGACACACAGGGACCTGGGTTCCCACTCTCCAGCTGACCTGAGGCAGGAAGCACTCTTCCCAAGCGACCCCCCTCCTTGCTCACCAATTGGACCTGGAGAAGACTGAGCAGCAGCTTCTGGCTCAATCCCCAGGGGGTAGGGAAGACTCTTGGAATTGCCCTGAGGGGATCGCCTGAGAGTTTGTGTCTACAGCAATTCCAGTGGGGTGCACGGATTGGGATCTGGAAACAAGGCCTGGCCTAGGTTATAGAGTGTGACCCACCTAGGCTGTGCTCCCGCCACGGGGAGTTTACACACCCAAAAAAGTGAGTTGTAGCGCTTGGTTCAAGAAGGGCCTGGAGTGCAGCCACTCTTCTCCCCACAACCTCCAAGGCAGAACTCCCACCTAACGCAATGGATCAAACCATGCCCATCCCTGCTAGACTGCTGCCCTCCTCCCCTCCCCCCACCCACTTTTTCTTTAATCGGAGCACTGACCTGATTAATTCTGGTCACTGGCTTGCTTAAATAGTCACATTTAATCCATTGTGTAGATGCAAATTCTATACCTACCTATCTTTTGATCTCTTTTTCTCAGGAGTAATCATACTATATAGTTTCTCTGGACAACACCACAGTCTTTCTCTCACCTCTTCAACCATATTCCATCCTTTCACTCTTTGAAAAAAGCTTCTTAGCCCTTCTGCCTATTCATTCCATTTCCAATTTTGCCTCATCCCCGCCGTCATCTCTCTCTTTCTCTACGCTCTTCAACCAGCACTGCATACACCCAGCTATTTAATCGTAGCTGAGAAATCTGGTTATATGCTTTAACCTGTTGTCTATTGGCTTTCTTTTTTGTTCCTTTTCTTTTCTTCTTTTTGACTTTTTAATGTATTTTTTTATTTTCTATTATTCGCCTTCCCTCCTCCCTCTTTTCTCTTTCTTTTTCCCTCTCAGTTTGCGTGTTTGTTGGATTTGTCTGTGGGTTTGGGTGCCTCTGTTCCCTGTGTGTTTGTCTGTTTCCTTCTCCAGGGCGACCTAAAGAAACAAGCCAAAGTACACATAGTGGAGAGTCCCAAATGCCACTATAAGTAGGAAAATAAAATAATGAAGGTCTCAACAAGAATGACCAAGAGATATCATTCAAAGAACACATTCTGAACGGAGAGGCCCTGGACAGTCAAAGAGTATTCTTGGGTACAGCAGCACTCACAGGTGCAGAGAGCATAACAAGTCTTTAAAACTAACAATGCATGGATTGAACAGGCAGGAAGGAGATTAAGTGATTTAGAAGACACCATTAAACAAAAATAAGAAACTGAGGGGTGCCTGGGTGGCTTAGTCGGTTAAGCGTCCGACTTTCGCTTAGGTCACGATCTCGTGGTTCGTGGGTTCGAGCCCTGCATCGGGCTCTGTGCTGACTGCCAGCTCAGAGCCTGGAGTCTGTTTCAGTCTGTGACTCTCTCTCTCTCTGACCCTCCCCTGCTCACGCTGTCTCTCTCTCTTTCTCCTCTAGAAATAAATTAAACACTAAAAAAAAAATTAAAAAAAAAAAGAAACAGGAAAAAAAAAAGAGAAAAATTGATCCAGAAACATGAAAGAAGAGTTCCAGAGCACAGCGATACAGTCAAACGGAACAATATCGTATCACAGGAATCCTAGACAAGGAAGAGAGAGGGAAAAGTGCTGAAGGAGTCCTGGAATGAATTATTGCAGAGAACTTCCCCAACCTGAGGAAGGAAGTAAACGTTGAAATACAAGAGACACAGAGAACTCCCCTCAGACGTAATTTCAATTGATCTTCTGCACGACATATCATAGTAAAAATAGCAAAATATAAGGACACAGAGAGAATTTTGAAAGCAGCTAGAGAGAAAAGGGCCCTAACACACAAAGGGAAACCTATCAGAGTGGTGACAGGCCTATCTACCAAAACATGGCAGCCTGAAAGGAATGGCAGGAGATCTTCAAAGTGATGAACAGAAAAAATATACAGTCAAGAATCCTCTATCCAGGAGGCCTGTCATTCAGAATAGAAGGAGAGAGAAAAGTCTTTCCAAATAAACAAAAATTGAAAGCATTTGTCATCACTAAGCCAGCCCTACAAGAAATCCTGAGGGGGAATCTCTGAAGGAAGTGTTGCAAGGAAAGCAGACACCAGAGACACCACCACAATCATGAATCCCACAAAGGACACAATGACTCTAAACCCACATATTTTTACAATAACACTGAAATGTAAATAGGCTGAATGCTCCAATCAAAAGACATAGGGTAGCAGAATGGATAAAAAAACAAAATCCATCTATTTGCTGTCTATAAGAAACGTATTTTAGACTGGAACAAACCTTCAGATTAAAAGTAAGGGAATGGAGAAATATATATCATGCTACTGGAAATCAAAAGAAAGCTGGAGTGCCTATACTTATATCAGACAAATTGGACTTTAAATTAAATACAATAACAAGAGATGAAGAAGGGCATTATATAATAATAACAGGGTCTATCTATCAGGAAGAACTAACAATCATAAATATCTATGCACCGAATATGGGAGCACCTAAATATATAAAACAATCACAAACAGAAAGAACCTTATAGGTAAGAATGTGCTAATAGCAGGGGACTTTAATACTCTCCTTACAACAATGGATAGATCAACCAAACAGAAATACACTAAAGAAACAGTGGACTTGAAAGACACATTGGACCAGATGGATCTGACAGATATATTTAGAACTCTACATCCGGGGGCCATGCAATTCACTTTCTTCTCAAGTGCGCATGGCACAATCTCCAAGATAGATCAAATACTGGGACATAAAGCATCCCTCAATAAATATAGAAGAATTGAGATCATACCATGCAGACTTTCAGATCATTATGCTTTGAAAATTGAAATCAATCACAGGAAGAAGTCTGGAAAACCTCCAAAAACATGGAGATTAAAGAACATCCTACTAAAGAATGAATGGGCCAATCAGGCAATTAGAGGAGAAATTAAAAATAATATGGAAACATGAAAATGAAAATACAACAATCCAAACTCTATGGGATGTGCCAAAGGCAGTCCTAGGAGGAAAATACATTGCACTCCAAGCCTATTTCAAGAAATTAGAAAAAGCACAAGTGCAAAATCTAACAGTTCAACTAAAGCAGCTAGAGGTAGAGCAACAAGAGCACCTGACACCCAGTAGAAGAAGAGAAATAGTAAATATCAGAGTAGAAATAAACATAGAGACCAAAGAAACAATTGAGCAGATCAATGAAACCAAGAGTTGGTTTTTTGAAAAAATAAGCAAAATTGACAAACCCCTAGCCAGGCTTCTCAAAAAGAAAAGAAAGAGCACCCACACAGACAAAATCATGAATGAAAATGGACTTATTACAACCAACCCCTCAAATATACAAGCAATTATCAAGGAATACTATGAAAAATTATATGCCAACAAACTGGACAACTTAGAAGAAATGGACAAATTCCTAAACACACACTCACTACCAAAATTCACACGGGAAGAAATAGAAAACCTGAACAGACCCATAACGAGTGAGGAAATTGAATCAGTTATCAAAAATCTCCCAACAAATAAGAGCCTTGGACCTGATGGCTTCCCTGGGGAATTCTACCAGACATTTAAAACAGAATTAATCCCAATTCTTCTCAAGCTATTCCAAAAAACAGAAATCGAGGGAAAACTTCTGGACTCATTTTATGAAGCCAGCATCACTCTGATTCCCAAGCCAGACAGAGATCCAGCAAAAAAAGAGAACTACAGGCCAATATCCTTGATGAATACAGATGCAAAAATCCTCAACAAGATACTTGCAAATCGAATTCAACAGCACATAAAAAGAATTATCCACCAAGATCAAGTGGGATTCATTCCTGGGTTACAGGGCTGGTTCAATATTCGCAAATCAATCAATGTGATACATCACATCAACAAAAGAAAAGATAAAACCCATATGATCCTTTCGATAGACGCAGAAAAAGCATTTGACAAAATACAGCATCCCTTCTTAATAAAGACCCTTGAGAAAGTCGGGATAGAAGGAACCTACTTAAACATCATAAAAGCCATCTATAAGAAGCCCTCAGCTAATATCATCCTCAACGGGGAAAAACTGAGAGCTTTCCCCCTGAGATCAGGAACACGACAGGGATGTCCACTCTCAACACTGTTGTTTAACATCGTGCTGGAAGTCCTAGCATCAGCCATCAGACAACAAAAGGAAATCAAAGGCATCAGAATTGGCAAAGAGGAAGTCAAACTGTCACTTTTCGCAGATGACATGATTCTCTACATAGAAAACTCAACAGACTCCACCAGAAGCCTGCTAGAACTGATGACAGAATTCAGCAAAGTTGCAGGGTACAAAATCAACGTGCAGAAATCAGATGCATTCTTATAGACCAACAATGAAGCAACAGAAAGAGAAATCAAGAAACTGATCCCATTCACAATTGCACAAAAAATCATAAAGTACATAGGAATAAACCGAACCAAGGATATAAGAGATCTGTGTGATGAAAACTATAGAAAACTTATGAAGGAAATTGAAGAAGACACAAAGAAATGGAAAAACATTCCATGCTCATGGATAGGAAGAATAAATATAGTTAAAATGTCGTTACTACCCAAAGCAATCTACACATTCAATGCAATTCAAATCAAAATTGCACCAGCATACTTCTCAAAACTAGAACGAACTATCCTAAAATTTGTATGGAACCACAAAAGAGCTCAAATAGCCAAAGTAATATTGAAGAAGAAAACCAAAACGGGAGGTATCACCATCCCAGACTTTAGCCTCTACTACAAAGCTGTCATCAACAAGACAGTATGGTATTGGCACAAAAACAGACACATAGACCAATGGAATAGAATTGAGAACTCAGAATTGGATACAAAAGTATACAGCCAACTAATCTTTGACAAAGCAGGAAAGAGTATCCAATGGAAACAAGACAGCCTCTTTAACAGATGGTGTCGGGAGAACTGGACAGCAACATGCCAAAGAATGAAACTAGATCATTTTCTCACATCATACACAAAAATAAACTCAAAATGGATCAAGGACCTGAACATGAGACAGGAAACCATCAAAACCCTAGAGGAGAAAGCAGGAAACAACCTCCTTGACCTCCACTGCAGCAATTTCTTACCTGACACATCCCCAAAAGCAAAGGAATCAAGAGCAAAAATAAAGTATTGGGACCTTATCAAGAGTAAAAGCTTTGCATGGCAAAGGAAACTATCCATAAAACTAATAGGCAACCGACAGAATGGGAAAAGATAATTCCAAATGACATATCAGGTAAAGGGTTAGTATCCAAAATATATAAGGAACTGACCTAACTCCACACACAAAAAACAAACAACCCAGTGAAGAAATGGGCAGAAGATATGAACAGACACTTCTCCAAAGGGGACATTCAGATGGCCAACAGACACATGAAACGATGCTCTGCGTCCCTCCTCATTAGGGAAATACAAATCAAATCCACTCTGAGATACCACCTCACTCCAGTCAAAGTGGCTAAAATGAGCAAATCAGAGGACTCTAGATGCTGGCGAGGATGTGGAGAAATGGACACCCTCCCACACTGTTGGTGGGAATATAAACTGGTGCAGCCCCTCTGGAAAACAGTGTGGAGGTTCCTTAAAAAATTAACAATAGAACTCCCCTATGGCCCAGCAGTAGCTCTGCTAGGAATTTACCCAAGGGATACAGGAGTGCTGATGCAAAGGAGCACATGTACCCCAGTGTTCATAGCAGCACTCTCAACAATAGCCACAACATGGAAAGAGCCTAAGTGTCCATCAACGGACGAATGGATCAAGAAGATGTGGTTTATCTATATGATGGAATACTACATGGCAATGAGAAAGAATGAAATCTGGCCATGTGTAGCAACATGTATGGAGCTTGAGGGTGTTATGCTGAGTGAGATAAGTCATACAGAGAAGGATAAATACCGTATGTTTGCACATATAGGAGGATTAGGAGGAACTTAATGTAGGACCGTGGGGGAGAGGTGGCGGGGAGTGGTGGGAGAGAGGGAGAGAGGTAAACCATGAGAGACTCTTGAATACTGAGAAACAAACTGAGGACTGAGGGGTGTGGGGGGGGAGGGGGAAGATGGGCATGGAGGAGGGCACTTCTGGGGATGAGCACTGGGTGTTATATGGAAACCAAGTTGACAATAAACTATTTGTAAGAAAAATGAAATACAAGAACTTTAATCATGAGAATTGTAAACATTATTAATCCCACTGACTCTTGAATATTTTATAATTAATTCAGGTACAACAGTGGAAATATATCTCAGTTGAGATATATGTGACTATATCCTGGTGGGTATTATTTCATCATTAAGTGAGGAATAATTCGGATGCATAATGAGAAAAAATAAGAGCCCTCATAATAGGGAGTATTATATGACTTTGTGAGAAATCCAAATTTAGAGTAATAAGTTTGGTTATTTTTCTTAATATGGAAAACCAGATATCAAATATTACACACAAAAATAACTGAGATCTAATAACTCAAATATTATCACACTCTAACTGAATGAAATGATGATGTCTTCTTTAAGAATAACTCAACATTAAATTAAAATTTTAAAAATGCAAAAAATTATTAAGACCTTGACCATCTTTAAATCAAATATCATTGTAAGAGGCAAAAATATCAAATTTATATATTATAAAATAAAATATTAAGGGATATAGATTTCTTGGTTGACATCAAAGTCTGTAATTGGATATTGCGATCTCAGGTTCAGTTCTAACAAGGATACTTATTCTATAATCAATCCCACTGCATGCTTTCTGATGGCTGCTTTGGCAAGGCTGACAAAAAAAAAAAAGGCATAAGTTAATTTTTGAAGAACAGTATTTTCTTAAACCAGTAAAGAAAATTCTAGTCATGTTGAAGTAAAAATTGAACTTGAATGTTGCTACACTTTAACAGAAATAAACTCACTTATTCTGCAGCCTTGTTCATCTGAACCATCTCCACAGTCATCAAGCTGATCACACTGGAGGTCCATGGGGATACATTTTTTATTACTGCAAGCAAACTCATCTTTTTTACATGGTCTTGCTTTATATGTAAGCTTACCTATAAAATCATTAAAAATGGTTAGTGCTTCATGGAATCAAAACCAATTTTTTAAATCATTTCTTTAAGTTTATTTTTTTATTATTTCTGAGAGAGAAAGAAAGAGAGAGGGTACAAGCAGAGGAGAAGCAGAGAGAGAGAGGGAGACACAGAATCCGAAGCAGGCTCTAGGCTCCGCACTGTCAGCACAGAGCCCAAAGTGGGGCTCAAAGTCACAAACTGTGAGATAATGACCTGAGCCAAAGGCAGGGGCTTATTAACCAAATGAGCCACCTAGGTGCCCCAAAAACAAATATATTGATTAAACTAACAGGTTCAAGGTTTTTTTTTTTTTTTTCAATTTTTTTTTCTTTTTTTTAATTTATTTCTAGGAGAGAGAGAGAGAGAGACAGCGTGAGCAGGGGAGGGTCAGAGAGAGAGGGAGTCACAGACTGAAACAGGCTCCAGGCTCTGAGCTGGCAGTCTACATAGAGCCCAACGCGGGGCTTGAACCCACAAACCGCGAGATCATGACCTAAGCCAAAGTCGGACGCTTAACCCACTAAGCCACCCAGGCGCCCTAACAGGTTCAAGGTTTTACTAGACACTGTGGAAAACATGAGGAGGCTCCATGGCTTTGTTTGAAGCTTGTGGGCTAAATGAAAAGATTCTGAAATCCCAGACTTTTAGAAAAACAACAGTTCATTCACCCTATAAGAGGTAACATTTTTATTTCCATAAGAAAATGCTTGAATATTCACTCTAAATGGTGCTTTCTTTTTAATGTAATACAAACTGCCTCAGACCAGTTCCAGTCAGGGTTTGTCACCAAATCATTTTGCCACATACATTAGTAAAGCCTTTGGTTTTAAGAGTTTTGTTAATTTCAGAATTGTGAAGAAAAGATTGTGTACACAGACATAAATCTTTATTTGCCCTCTCCCCTCCAGGAGCTGTTTAACAGAGAACTTTTTAAACTGCTATGTTTTTCTCTCTTGAAGTACTTTCTGGAATAAAGTGTATATAACCAATAGAGATTTACAGATTAGCAGAGACTTTGCATAAAGCCGCATAGCTCTACTATTCAAATGAATGCTAGCAGATTATTTTCGTTCCTTGTCAGAAGAGAAAGTGTCTGGAAAAAAAAAAAAAAAACCAACTTCAGACATGCCACATGGAAAATACTTCTTTTTTTGAGTCCTCAAACCATTATATTATCTTGTAGCTGTCACTGAATCAATTATTTCACATTAAATGGATTTACCACCACAGTGATCTTCATCAGACTTGTCCCCACAGTCATCAATCCCATTACACATTTGCTCAGGCTGCAGGCATATTCTGTTATTTCTGCATCTGTGAGGTCTTGTGGGTGGGCAAAGAAATTTGGCTGAAAAAAAAAAAAAAGAAAAAGAAAGCAGTCCCTTTGGGTACATGACTTACAATTTTTTGTTTGTTTCTTTGTTTTGGTCTTTCCTTTTCTGTGGTTTCCTTCTTTTCAAATTCATAATCTAGCTTTTAGGAGTATCTTTTGTTGTGGAAATTGCTTACATGTAGGTACTAGAAAATGTGTTGATAATAGAAGCTATGATCCTAGTAATTTATATCAACTACAAAAAAAGAGTGCACAGCTGAAATGAAATAAAGTAAGAAAAAGAGCCAAACTTCATGGTTTCATTTCCAGATGCCTTATCTTAGCTGACTTCACTTGGTGTACCAAATTAATTTACGCCTGTGGTTCATACAACATGGCAGGACACTTAGCTATTTGAAAGAGCAATTTTACACAGAATAGAGGCTGAGTAAGCATATGTTACAGCCCCAAATTTGAAAATAGGTCACCCAGTGAAAAAAATGTCCCAACAATATTATAACTGTGTTTCTTACTCTGTGTCTCTGTAAAGAAATGTGTAAATATGTATTTGAGTCACATGGGTGATCTTTGCTATTTATTTTTAATATTTGTGTGTGTGTCTGTGTGTGTGTGTGTGTAAATGAGACAACAGTGAAAGCCAGAGAATTTTATCCTGTCCTAGCCATCATATAATCTGAAGACTTCCACCCCTGGAGTAGGAAACACCTCTAATGACTCTTTATCCTTACATGTGGAATACTTTGGGCTCTTTCATTGGTTTCCTGATCTTCTCACTCTTGACTTCTCTGTTGATATTCTTATTCTCATGGATTTACGTGACATAACACCCTGAAGACTTGCAATTCACTATCTTATTCTAGTATCTCACAATTGGTTACAGGATATCTCCTCAAGAATTTCAAATTCAGTTAAGTCCAAACCCCATTCTTTATCACCTTCCCATTACTTCCTTCTTCCCAAATATAAACTTTGTGTTATGTTAATTCAGTTAGTAGTACCTCATAGCCACAGTCTGGTATTATTCTAAATGCATTCCTCTTACTGACCTTCAACTCTTATAAGTCAACAAGTCCGGCTGATATAGTGCCCAAACTTACCTTCTTCTTTACATGCATACCAGTTACAATAGCTTAGCTCTTCTTTATCTCTTAGATGGGATGGAATCCTAAATGTTTCCATTTCATTGCCCAACATAAGATTTCCCGAAAGATAACAGAACCCACCTAACACATTAATCTGACCATCTCTTTCATAGTTATCCAGCACTTTCAGAATAATATTTAAGATACTTTACATGGCATTATAGACCGATCATTACTTTGTCCCTGTTACTCCTACAGACTCATCCCTTGTATCTCTTAAAAGTCCAGCAATACTACTTTATTAGCTCCTTAAATATGCCATACTCCTTCTTTCCTGACCTCCTTGGTTTAACAGAAATCCAGTTTCCACTCCAAGCACAGTTCCTCCCCTTTAGGTCTTTTTAGGAATGCCTCTTAAATTACTTATACTTCATATTATCTCATGTTTAAATATACCCTTAATTTCCTACTTCAGCTTTCTGAACTTTGTTACTATATCATTGCATTCTACTTTATAAAATAAAACAAAAACTATTATGCATTTGATTATACATCTTTCTTACTGCTATTTTCTCATCAACCTTGTAAATATCACCCCCTCTCTAATTTACTAAAGACTGTAGCACCACCCTTCATAGTCATTGCTCTCCATCCAAACTCATTTCAACATCCTAGATGACATCAACATCCACATGAACAAACCAACCAAAAGCTGTACTTCTTAGAGCCTCGAGGTTTTCATACCCAATAACCTTTAAGTCTAATTCACCTAAGCCACTCACTATCCTAGCAGGTTATGAAGATTGGAAGATTTCAAGAAATTTCTCTTCTTAACTCAGCCAATGACCCTTCCTGTTGTTTGCAGGTAAGAACACTAACTGACCCACATAGGTGCAGCTAGATGCACTGTTTTCTCTAGTTACTTCATTTATATAGCCACTAATTTGAATGCTGTAAGTTCTGACTACAACCTCTTACTTTCCCAACTTTCTAGTTGGGAAATAATGACAAATATTTATTGGTAAATTATTATATGTTAGACAATGTTCTAAGAACTTATTTAGAAACTCACTTTAGTACAAATAATCTGGATTATCTGGCCTTTTTCTCTTTTTCACTCCATAGTATTCCATAGTGTCCATTGCCCCCATTCTACTCTGACTCTTTTTATCCTATAGAATTCCATAGTACCCATTACCCCATTCTCTTCTGATTCTCAAGTTTATAACTCTAGACCAGCATTTTAAACTTTGGAGCCAAACATCTAGAGCCTACCTGAAATCTATACTTGAATGTCTCCTCAAATGTCTCTCAAAGCAGGTTTTTAATCTTCACTTACAATACTGTTTCTCTTCCTATGTTCCCCATGTATTCAACTGTGCAAGCAAAATACCCTACACATTATACATTTCCTCTCCCTTGCCCTATATATCTAATCTATTACTTAATCCAATTTATTCTGCTTTTTCAAATCACCTACAAATCTGTGTATATTTGCCATTTTTATCTTTTTTTAAAGTGTTTATTATTTTTGAAAGGAAGAAAGCATGAGCAGGGTAGGGGCAGAGAGAGAGGGGGACACAGAATCTAAAGCAGGCTCCAGTCTCTGAGCTATCAGCACAGAGCCTGATGCAGGGCTTGAACCCACGAACAGTGAGATCATGCCCTGAGCCAAAGTCAGACACTGAGCCACCCAGGCACCTCATGTGCTATCAGTATCTTAATCCAAGCTACCAGCATGGCCTGCCTAGAGTACAGCAATTAATCTTACCTAAATTTGCCCCTTTTTATCCAATATTTTTAAAATATTAAAATAAAAATAACTATATGCATGTTCTGCTTAAAACAGTTTAGTATTCTTAACTGCTTTTAGGCTAAGGCTAAAAATCTCTATAGAGATTCACAAGGCTCCCGACTCTTTTGTCTCTTCAGTTTCATTTGAAACCAATATCTACCTGTTCTGCACTCTCCAAGTACATAGATCTTTCAGTTCCCCCAGTAAGCTGTGGATTGCTTTGCCTCAGGGTCTGTCTGCATCTTGTTTCCTTTGCCTACAACATTATGTCATCCACCTTCCCTCCACCCCATCCCTTTCACCTACTTGGCAGTGTTTAATCTCTCAGACTGAAACTGAAATGTTCCCATAACCCAAGATTGAATAACATCCCTCTGGTCTATACTTTTATAACTTACTCTACTTTTTTGTCCATGCATGTATCATCATTTGTAGCCGTATATTTTTGAGATCATTTGAATCCCTATTCTACTAGATTCTCAGTTCTGTGAAATCAGGGTCCATGTCTGTTTCTCTCATCATTATATTATCAAAAATAATAACAGTCTCTAACTTAACAAATGTTTATTAAGTGAATGAATGACACTTTTCCCCATGCTGTTCATAATGTCTACAGTGTATTTTAGTTTGGATCCTTCAAACTTTAGCTTTCTGAATTCCTCTTTATGCAGAGTTCATCTTATTCTTCTCCATCTTATTTATACCTTTTACTTAATCTCACCATTTCTTGAAATACAATGTATGAAAATTATGATTTGTACAATGAGATTAAGATCTTGTCATAGAGAACCATGTGCTGTTCATTTTTTTTTAAATCCCAATTATTTAGCACAGTCCTTGGTGACATAACAGATTGACTCAATGTTTATACTGATGACCAAGGGGAATGTAAAGAACATGCACAGAATCAAGCTGGATGTATTTTAAGTTTTCCAGCAGCTGTCACTGAAAATCACTTCCTGGCCCTGAAAGTAGTCCTGGGGCTCTGACTCTGGAGTCTCACATGGTTAATTAGTTAGTGACCACTTGATATTCCACTCACTAGTTGTGTGCTGAGGTGGAATGAACAAGAGAAAAAGAATTACATAAATATACACACATATATAATTATGTGTATATATATATATATATACACACACACACACACACACACACACACAAGTTATAAAAATAATAAGGTCTGGCTCGATGTTGGTAGATAAGTTCATATTTTCCATGTATTATAATTCAGAAACAATATAATCTCTAGTGATTCTTTAGGGTCCATTTTGTAAGATTATGTAGCACTAAAATGGAAACTTGGTTATGTCTCTCATCAGTTGTGCCTACAGAGAACACACTCCAAAAACTGTCATTTTTATATTTTATATCCTTTTAAAAATAAAGCTGCCTCCTTGTTTTGGATTTTTTTAAATTTTTATTTATTCTTTATTTTTTACAAATAGTATATTGTCAAATTGGTCTCCATATAACACCCAGTGCTCATCCCCACAATGTTTTGGATTTTTAATTCAGTTTTAATGTCAGTATTCAATGTCATCATCAATCAAAAAATATTGGTTTAACCTGGTAAAGAGTACAAATAATTTAGGTATAAATACTCATTCTATGTTTTCTTTAACTCACCTGATGTGCTATTTAATTGTATCCAAAGTAGTAATATTTTTCTTTAAATTAGTGGTAAAATACATTTTTGCAGAGATTAGATCAAATAATAAGAAGAAGGACTAAAAATGTTTGCTACATATAAGAAAATTGGACATTGATAGTTGTTGGTTGCATTAAGTACACTCTTGACAATTATCGGTTAGGAGTAACTTGAATTTGAAGAAACATTAACTTTTGTTAAGATTTTCAGATTAAAATGTTAAATAATGCCTAATTTCAGTTCCCTGCCTATGTCTAAATATATATGTATAAATCTATTAATATATTTATAACATAGAATATATGTATAATATATATTTTAATATATTAAATATTAAAATATAATGATATATTTACATGTTAAATATATTAATATATTTACATATTATCTCCGTATAGATCTTCCTTCTCTGAATAAACTTGGTCTCAGTAGTGAATAACTTGTGGAACTACATGATTTTATTATTCACATGTTTTGCTTGTGGTTACCTGCCCAAAAAAGAAAATGATTTAGCTTAAAGGACCACTTTGGTACAAAGCCAAAGTCATCATATGAAACTTACACAGTTCAAACCATAAATATCTTTTGAATAGTGTTGACATGTGCAAGTTCAATTTAGGAGGGTTTTCTATAAAGTCATCAGCTTTGGACAGGGTAATCTCTTATTACCTGAACAAAAGCTATATCTGTGGTCTTACTTTATCTACCTATCTCTAGGATGGCAGACTTTGTGGTTCGCCTCACCACTTCATTGATTCACACCAGTTCATTAGATCCGGAGATGAGAATAAAATCTAGACCCATGTGAAATATGCCATACCGCACATATCAGGGGCTTCATCTGAGTTGTCTCCACAGTCGTCTTCTCCATCACACACCCAGAAATGTAGTTTGCAAAGAGAATTATTGCAGAGAAACTCATCTGCTCTACATATATTTCCTCCTTTATTTTAAAACAAAACAGAAAAAAAGACAGAGATGTAGCATAATTAATTTCAGTCAGCAGGACACATATTCCTCTAATTCTCAGCAAATACGTATCTAGTTTCTCATTTCCTTACATTTTTTTCCTGTATAATACTAGGGACAGGGAGTAACCAAGGAGTTTTTTTTAGTTACTCATGTTTAGTTACTTTGCAAAACAATAGATATTACTCAGGCATATCATAGTTCCTTTAGGAATACTGATAAGATGGTAGAAGGAAGTTTACTCAAATGTAAGTAATCTTCTGTTTCACATCATTTTTATGTTACTGTAGAGAAACTAAGGTTTTAAATAGTATTAGTTTTCATTATAAAAATTGTGCTTTTCTGGAAAGAAAAGACATTTTCAAAAATTTTAGATAATTCAGCTGCATCTGGAAACTGACAAACTGAATTGCTAAAGACAGAATAACCAATAAAGTTTTTGAAGTCACAGAGAAACAGTTAATTTTATAACAGAATTAGAACTTGGTGATGTGGTGAAATATTAAAGTCATCCCGGTAAAAAATTGTGTAAGAGCGTACCAATTTTTGTGTGCATTTTGTAAATGTTTCCATTTTTTCTCTTTTCACAATTCAACAGAGAGCATCAAGAATGCAAGGATATACTCACTCAAAATTAAGAACACTTATCACATGCAAGGGTACCAAAATACTAGCTTTGGTTATATGTCTAGCTATATAGTAATCTATAGTGAAAAGTGCAGTGGTTGGGGAATTAGGAACTTAATTTGTCTTTCTCTGGACTAGTCTATTAATTTCTCTGGGACTCAGTTTCTTTCTATGTTACAAAAGAGGCATGGTCAAGGTAATTTATAAGGTCATATTTACAAGCAGCACCTGGGGAAACAGCACAAAGTAACTTGATGGGAATTTAGAATTAGGATAAGTAAGATTGCTTTCAGAGAATTATCCTACCTATTTGAACATCATAAATAAGAAATTTGGCTTCCATATCAGATTGATGTGATGACTGATGGTACTAACATATTTAAAAGTGGATATCTTTACTAAAACATGGGGCTGAGAAGTGATAGTGCTCATCCTTGTGAGTATACAAAATCCCAGAAGGAAGTGTTGTTCATTTTGTGGATGCACTTCAGAGGGAATAATAAGCCTAGATCTGTGAGGGTCAAACAACTCATCTTGTTGAGTTTTGACTCGCATATAAATCTGTAACAATTAGAGTTACGAAGACTTAACTTAGCAAATGACAGAAAAAGATTTGGATTTTAGCATAGTAACAGTAGCCTACAGTGTGGAGAACTTGGAAAGGAAGGTAGTGAAATTAAAGCCAAGGCTGGAGAAAAAGGCCAATTTGAAGAGGGGGTGCAGCAGTACAGTACTTGATTTCTAGTAGCTTCCACTGATTCGTTGAAAGTGATTCAGGAAGTAGAAATTTCAGGATCTGATGGCTAAATAGATGAGGGTAGCGAGGAGAGTGAGTAGTCAAACATAGTACTCAATTTTTGGTTTATCTGGGGCAGTTGGTGAATGTTCATATTGTTCAAAAAAATAAAGGAATACAGTAGGAAGAACAAGCTTACTAGAAATAATGACACAATTCATTTAAATCACTAGTAGAATAACCATGTAATGATATTTAGTAGGATAGTGTATAAATGTGTTGAAATATATGATAAGTTCTGAGCTGTAAATATATAACTAGGGATGGTAAGAATGTAGTTGTTATTTGGAATTTAGAACAAAACAGAGGAGATAAGCATTTAAAGATTGCATAAAGGGGTGTCTGCAAAAGAGGCAGAGGCTACTTAGCCAGAGTGGTTGGAAAAATACCTAAAAAGCATCTCAACAAGAAGGTAATAGTTAGCACATGTATATAATGCTAAAAGAGGAGGTTCAGTGAAGTGGCAGTAGATTTAATGAAATGTTTGTACTTGGTTATTATTAGATGAAGTACTGTTAGTTTCTGTAACCATCTGCTCATTTCCAGGAGTTAGCCCTTTAAGGGGAGGAAGAGAGGAAGGAGTTAGGTGAGTAAGAACCTGGTAGCTTCTGTGGAGTAAAACTGATATCTGATATACTTGAGTGATTCTGAAAATAATTCAGTAGACAGAGTAAGCTTGAGGATACAGAAGAGAGAAAAGGTAACTGATATAACAAAGTCCTTGAGAATCCAGTAAGTGTGAAGGATTTGAGATCTAAAGTATCTACCTGATACTAGAGGTGCAATAGGCCTTCCATTTCAGGAGGAAGGAAGGGGGAAAGGCTAGACTAGGCACAGCTTTAGGTACATTTGTTAGTTTGGTGAACATATTAAGCTCAAGATTTTTTTTATTTCTGTGAAGTGGAGATGAGGATAAAATTCAACTTGTTAAAAACTTGATATGTTTGGGAGCACTTGGGTGGCTCAGTCAGTTAAGTGTCCGACTTCAGCTCAGGTCATGATCTGACAGTTTGTGGGTTCGAGCCCCATGTAGGGCTCTGTGCTGACAGCTAGCTCAGAGCCTGGAGCCTGCTTCAGATTCTGTATCTCCCTCTCTCTCTGACCCTCCCCTGCGCTCTCTCTCACTCGCTCGCTCGCTTGCGAGTATAAAAATAAATAAAACATAAATTTTTTTATGTTTTATTTATTTCTAGGAGAGAGAGAGAGAGAGACAGCATGAGCAGGGGAGGGTCAGAGAGAGAGGGAGTCACAGACTGAAACAGGCTCCAGGCTCTGAGCTGGCAGTCAGCACAGAGCCCGACGCGGGGCTCGAACCCACGAACCGCGAGATCATGACCTAAGCGAAAGTCGGACGCTTAACCCAACTAAGCCACCCAGGCGCCCCTAAAAAATTTTTTTTAATAAAACCTTGATATGTTTAGGGTGCTTGGGTGGCTCAGGTGGTTAAATGTCTGACTCCTGATTTCAGCTCAGGTCATGCTCTCATAGTTCCTGATATCAAGCCCGGCATCAGGCTCTGTGCTGATAGTACAGAGCCTGTTTGGGATTCTCTGTCCCTCTCTCTGCCCCTTTCCTATTCCTATGTGTGCAAACACATGTGTGCTCTCCCTCTCTCAAAATACACATATAAATATTTTTAAAATATAAAAAAAAATAAATAAAAACTTGATGTGGTTAATGGCAGACAGATGATTCGAGAAATATAGGATGACTGCTTAGGATCTTAAGTAATAGCTGAAGCTGAGGTTGAGACTTTATTAGTGATATCAATTGGAACAGTTCTAAGAGTTTCCCGCAAAAATGTTTAAGAATTGGCACAGTCTACATTGGCATCTCTGAGGAGTAACAGACTGTATAATAGGGACAAAGTCAAGTCCATGGTGAGTCCATCAAGGTGAGTATCACCATGTGAGACTGACAGTAAAGTATCTGGCATTGGGGTGTCCCTTTTATCAACTTCTGCGATACTCAATTCTAAAATGTCCTAATTCTAACAACACTTTCAATTACCAAACCCATGCAAAAATATATATATTTATATTTAGCAACTGTGTGGAATCAATAAAAAGAGAACATGTATGGTCTTTCATATTAAAGAAACTTAAGATATGAATATTGATATAAGGTAAGTGCTTAATTAAATACCAAAATTCAAAGAATATAAAAGTTATATTCATTCAGAATAAAGATTCTTATGACTAAATCTCATTCCATGTTCCATTTTACAATGGATTATATTCAAACAAAATTTGTGAACTCTTGACATCCTCTGACTATTTTAGAAAATTCTATTTGTAGCACATGAGTCTTGTTAAAAAAAAAAGTATTTCCCAAAGGTATTATATTAGATAACATTATAATTTGCCCCATAAGAACGTTGGGAATACTACTATTTTTATGAAGAAAAAGAGAAATAGAAATGAAATCACAGTTGTAACAGTAAGACAAAGTTCTTGTAATAATTTACTAAAGGCTTGCTATTATATCATGAAGAATTTGCATTGAAAAATGCATTATGGAGTACCATGACATCCTGAGTCTAACATAAAATGCTTATTTTGAAATGGCATGAGGCACATATAAGCAAAAAAAGTACAATTTAAAGAGATTAGCTAGATCAAAATTCCAGTTTCCTAGTCATTAGTCATGTTCTTAGTCAGCTCAACAGGAGGTTATTAGAAAATATAAATTTATAAATCTGAGCTTGTGGCAGGTTCATAGAAATCTGGACAGGCACAGCATCACAGAAAATAAGCATCTAGAGTTCTCCTCTTAATTTGGGTGGAGAGAAGGTTTAATATATGATAATATTTTCTAATTTGCATAGTTAACACATTTTTGAGCTGATTGATAACCAAAAAGAATAATTCTCAATCTTGTCCACCAAAACTGCTAAGGAGAGCAAAGTTTGGGAGCTCAGGTATAAATGAATGAATGAATGAATGAATGAATGAATGAATAAATGAAAAACCCACCAAGTTTCCTTGGCATGTTTTACCTTTAAAAATACAAATGTCGCTTTTAATTACACAGTCTTTTGGGGTTTGTCTTTTTAAAGTAAGCCAGTAAAATGATTCACTTGGAAAATGTTTATGTTTGTCCTGCATCTCTCCTGTTTTCCAGCCCCCAGCACTTAGTTCATGTGTCCAGATTTGAGATGAATGGAAGTGAGATTTAACAGGAGACAGATTTATTCTGGCATTCCATTTCCTCAGTGCCTTGAAGTACATCTATCCAATACCTAAACCACTTCCTGGAAGTAAGTTAAATACCAGAAATCTGAACCTGATCATGCTTAAAGTACAACCATACAGGATCAAATATTTTAACCAAGATAATTCACTGGAGTTTATCTAGCAGCAAAGAAATCCAAGAAAAGTTAGAAACATTAGTTGGAGGGAAGGGGAGCTCTGACACGTTTCTAAATGACTGAATTAAAGGCCCTCAGCTCTTTTTTAACCAGTAGGCTTAAACTTTTAGTAGAGTCATTTTAAATCTAAAAGGCAACTCAGATTTCAAATGCTATACTGTATACTGTTCTCTTTTTTTAAACTGTAATGTTTGCTTTTCAACCTGGAATTCTTTGTTCAAACAAATATTTCTTATGAAATTTTTATATTTAAAAAAATAGATACAACCTAACTGAACTGCCATCACACACACACACGCACGCACGCACGCATGCACACACACACACACACACACACAGATACACATTGACTCATTCTCCAGATACTCTTACAGCTCCTGAGAGACATTTCACTCTGGCTGGACTTGACAGTATGAAAAATGAGCCTGGAAACTTTCCTACAGGTAAGACAAAAAATAAGATCTCTTGATTCTCATTTCAGTAAATTCTCTGTGCACTATTTATTATATAGTGCAAATTCTACCACCATCTCTTTTTGAAAAAAAAAAAATTGAAGACTCCTTAAAAGTCTTGGAAAACTTCTCATTATGCTTAAAATTAGAGCCAATTTCTATAGCATGAATCTTCTATTACTTATAGTTCCTAAATAAACTGTTTCTCACCTATGAGACTTTGTATATACTGATCCCAGCTCCTGGAATCTCTTTCCTCATCCTGTTTGCATTCTCACTTTCCTACATCAAGAAACTCGCATTCCAACAGGGGAAACAGTCAACTAATACAGAAATAATTGTATTAGAAAGAAGAATATGATTAACAAGTATGCAATCAAAGGGTTGCTAGGGAAACTCCAGAAGAGACTGCAATTTGGTTGAAGACTTACAAGGAGAGATACTATTTTTATTGGCAAATGTATTGTGATGGAGGAAATAGTAGAGGAATCAGGAAAGATGTTGAACAGCATGGAAGATGTTGCTAGATTTATTCTTTGGTTTGGCTACATATATGATACCTAAAGAGAAGTAATACAGTATAAGATTAGTAAGATAAAATAGGATCATTCTCTTGTAACCCTGACTGCCATATTTGTATGTAACCAGGAAGGAACTTCAAGTAAACATTGACATAGTTAGAGTTACACTCCAAAAAGATGAACCTGACAGCAGTGAGCAGAGCAGAATGTATTGAAGTCCATTTACATGGTAGTGCATATGCCTAGGCAGGAAGCAATGAGAGAAAGAGCTAGACTGGTGATAGAGACTGAAATTAAGGGAATGGAGCTTATTAGCTAGAAAATGGAAAATGATGAGTAACTTAATTGTCCTTAAGTCTTATAATATAACTATATTTAAGATCTTTTGGTGCCAGGGTGTCTACAATGTTTGCTGTCTGTAAATTGGAATGTGAATGTGAGAACTTAACCAAAAGTGGAAACAGCTATTAAGGAAGTCTAATCTTTCATGGCTCTATATAATGCACTGCAGATTCCAAATGAGAACTCAGATTTCTTCTGCTGAATATTACAATACTTTATCAGATTTGAGATGGAGATCTTAGCAAATCATAAAGATTTGATCTAATATTAAAGGAAATGGAGGATATTTTTCTTTTTTTTTTCTTTTTTTTTTTAATATTTTTTATTTATTTCTAGGAGAGAGAGAGAGAGACAGCATGAGCAGGGGAGGGTCAGAGAGAGAGGGGGAGTCACAGACTGAAACAGGCTCCAGGCTCTGAGCTGGCAGTCAGCACAGAGCCCGACGCGGGGCTCGAACCCACGACGAACCGCGAGATCATGACCCAAGCGAAAGTCGGACGCTTAACCGACTAGCCACCCAGGCGCCCCAAGGATATTTTTCTTTGACTAGATATTTATAGAAGTAAAATTTTATTATCTTCTTTTTTTAAAAAAATGTTTTATTTAAATTCCAATTACTTAACCACCAGTGTAATATTAGTTTCAGGTGTACAATGTAATGATTTAACACTTCCATACAACACCCAGTGTTCATCACAACATGTGTGCTCCTTATCGCCATAACCTATTTAACCCACCCCCCACCCACTCCCCTCTGGTAATTATCAGTTTGTTCTCTATAGTTAAAAGTCTATTTCTCGGTTTGATTTTCTTTTTATCCCCCTTATGTTCATTTGTTTTGTTTCTTGAATTCTAAATACAAATGAAATCATATGGTATTTGTCTTTCTGTGACTGACTTATTTTGCTTAGCATTATATTCTCTATATATAATTCATTCATGTTGATTGAATGAATTCATGTTGTTGCAAAACTACATTTCAACTGTATAAACCCTGAGCTTGTGTTCAAATGCCTTGCAACATACATCAGTATCTAGGTTCATCTCTGTTGATGATAATCCAAATATTCCATAATATAAAGTCCATCGAGAGACTTTTTAATTTGTTTTTTTAACTTTTGTGTATTTATTTTGAGAGAGAGAGAGAGAGCCTGCAAGAGCATGAGCAGGGGAGGGAAAGAGAGAGAGAGAATCCCAAGCAAGCAGGCTCTTCTGCACTGTCAGTGCAGAGTTTTGATGCAGGGCTCCATCTCCTGAACTGTGAAATCATCACCTGAGCCGAAATCAAGAGTCGGATGTTTAACCAGCTGAGCCGCCCAGGGGCACCCATTGAGAGACTTTTGTAGTCAGGTTAAAAGAAATTTTGCATTTAAACAACATGTTAAACATTATGAAGATAATAAGAATTATGAAATTTGTGATCATTTTAAAGTTTGCTCCACAATTTTTTTTGCTTTCATGTCAGTAACTCTAAAATAGTAATAATTGCTGCTTTTAATATGGTGAATTACAATTAAAATTTGGTTATCTATCAGGAAATATTTTCACATAGCTAAAAAAATAATGTACTACAAAATTAAAAGTTGTCTTCCAAACTGATAAAAATGTAGGTCATTTTCTCAACCATATGGCAAAAGGGAAATTTGGGGCACAGACTACAATTGTGTATCAGTATGTGTAATATAGTATGCCATATGTTATTAGTCTTTCATAGTAAGGCAAGCAATGTGGAAGAGAAATGAACACCGAAAATACTTGTGTAGTAATGGCTACAAGCAGTTATGTTCCCTGCATCCTTCTCCTGTCCCATCCCTGACCCAGCATCTAGTTATGTTTGTGGTAGGATGGAATAAACACCTGCACTTTGGTTACCTTTTCATATGAAGACTCACACTGTACTCTATCTGGAAATTATCCAGATTTTGCTTATTCAGAACAGGATATTATGTAATGAAATAGGAATGGGTAAAGAGAATCATTTAAGAATCCTATTCTTTGCCTCTAGCACACCATTGACTTGACACAGTATTTTAATGCCATTCTCTTATTTATAGGCATGCATGGCGCGCGCGCGCACACACACACACACACACACACACACACACAAATACCTTACCTCTGTCACAGTTTTCTTCATCACTGCCATCCACACAGTCATGAATGCCATCACAAAGCCATCTAATTGGAATACAGTGGGCTTTATTTCTGCATCGAAACTGATCTTCCTTGCATTCACTCACACAGTCCATCTGTTCGAATACAAATGGGCACTGCAGTTTTCATTAATGATAATGATATAGTCACAGGGAAAATAAACATGCAGCTGACAATACTGGAGATTTATTACACTGTGGGCTTTCTTTTATTTTGACTTAATGAATATAACCTCTACAAATGACAGTAGGGTTTTGTATATGAAGAGCACGCAGATACGGGTATTTGCTGCAATTATTATATTCAACGTACTTGTCCTAACATTTTAGACTGCTAAGAATCAAGATGCTTTCTTCACTCTATTTTTATTACATTTGCTTTCCCAAACCTAATTCATGTAATTCAGAGATTTTAATCAAATGATAGATTTTACCTCATCTGAACCATCAGCACAATCATATTCTCCATTACATTTCAAAGATGCTGAAATACATCCTCTGCTGGCACATATATATTCATTTGATGAGCAAGTAGGAGAATCTGAATATAATTATAAAGTTAAGATTTAGATTCACTGAAATGAATGATTGCTTTGATAGATAAAAACATATGTAAGCATATAAAAATTCACAGTAATAAAAATAGTTTACATTTAAACTCTACTCAATATCTGATATTAAACATTTAAAGTGTGTTTCATGATATTATTGCATTTCATGAAATATACCTCAGTGATGTAGTAGCCTGTTGATAAGTATTTAACTCACTAGACTAAAGAAAGAAAGAAAAAACCCTCTCTATCCTCTATCTCTTTAATTTTGAAGAGTTAAATGAATTTTCCATACTTTTAAATTAAATTATTTAAAAAACAAAGACTTCAAATTGTTATTTAAAACTGTAATGCAATTTAGTGACCGTTGGGAATGTGAATTTATATATGCATTGTTTAAAGCTAAAAGTAGAAATCTTGGCATGTTCTTATAGACCCCGTGATGTCTAGCTGGCTGTGTTGATATAAATGTCATATTTGCATATGTTCTGAGAAGCATTTTTGTTTTGGGGTCTTAAACATGAATACATGCATAATTGAGTCTATAGAATTGGAAGTATTCCTTTAGGGAATAGAAAATAAAAATAGCATGTGGATATTTAAATTACTATCAGTACCCAATCTAATTAACTGACATAGTAATTATGATCACTGCCTTTGTCTCTGGGTTTGAGTTTGCTAGGTTTACATTCAAACCTCCGGTAGCCAAATTTACTTATATATAATGACTCTGCTTACTCCAAGGATGCTCAAAAGCTTTTTCCTAGAGTCTTAATTCCATTTAATTGGCAGTGTTTGCTTAGGGATCTATATTCATATGGAGTCTGAAGACATTTCTAAATTCAGTAGGAAAAAAAGATACGATCAATTAGCAATATGGCCCATGAGCAGCAACATGTGCGTCCTGTATCTGCTGCGCTCACCTAGGCTCTCAAGTAATGCTTTTGTGGTTATACATAGATTATAGCATGATTTTCTCCCAAAAGTCTTTTTTTGGTAAGAAAGTGCTATTAAAATACTTAAGTCTAAAAAATAAGTTTTAATGGGCATATATATAAAGCTATATTTAAAGGATAAAAATGCACAATAAATTGGATAGCTTTTTGTCCCCTTTATTTTGGTCTCACTTCCTAATTATTTTATTTTGATTTTTGACCAGAATGCAAATAGAAATAATATACTTATGCTTTCCTTCAGTTGGTTTCATGTTGAAATTACTACATTCTTTTTCACAACCTTAATGTCCATAACTGAAAACCTAACTTTTATTGCACTTATAGTTTCAACATATATCATTTTTCCATCTTGGAGAAACAATTCCAAATGGGGTGGAAAGGCAGAGAAACCAGAAAATTAAATTTGGGGAGTAATGCCTGGATCCCAAACATAGTAATAATCTTATGCTAAAACACATCTGAAACGTATAAAGTGCACACTAATTAATTCACCTATAAATATATCTAAAATTTTATAGCTAAAACATAGTAAGTATGTGTGTACATTTGCCATTGTTTTCTCTTAATTATTGCTTAAATCGGTATTATACCAAGTTAAAATATCAGCTAAATTAACTACCATCTCAATCATTTTACCTGTCTCACAGTTTTTCTCATCTTCTCCATATTTACAGTCTTCATGGCCATCACATTTCCACTTTGCTGATATGCACTGACCATTGGAACACTGGAACTGATCTTTGGAACAACTTGTTTCACAATTTCTCTGTCAAAAACCACACAACACAGTTAACACTAAGTTTTTAGACTGTCACAAATAAGAGGTTCAGAGGGTCATTTAAGCCCACGGCTATATAACAAAACTATAAAAATTTTCTTTTTTCATTTGTCTCTGTGAGTCATAAAAGAACAGAGAAATGAGAAAAGAACGTAGATCCCATGGCTCCATCATATCAATTATTCTGAGGGGATCATTTTCCAGTAGACAGTTAGGGGGTCATGTAATTTTAATAATTAAAGGTGGCAATAAAGATCAGGAAGGAAACAAAGGGTTAAAATTATCTCTAAGCAAGTTCCCAGAGAACTGGATGGCAGGATGAACATGAAGCAAAGACAAACCAAAGGCAAATCTGTTTTGTGTTGGCATAACTTCCTGGAGGGTCCCTCCCTTCGTCTTTTCATGCCTCTTCCTCAGTCCTTTCACAAATTAGTTGCTGTTTAAAATCCTTCCCCTCTATTCCAACATTTGTTGCCAAAGAACTGTGACATGAGCTGTCACAATTGTCACTTCTGCTACTTTGCATACAGATTTTTAGAAGTTAAACAAGACAATAGATATACCTTTGGGGACCTTACGATTCTTTATATGAGATCAATAAAAGGGATCCAGTAGAAATTTACCTGTCTTGGGTCTGACCAGTCTGGTTGATATGGGATTCTCCAATGAAACATCTTGCTGGGATGAGGTTTTTCTGCAAGTAATTTCTATTCTTGCCAAAAGATACTTGTCTGTTCCTTCCACAAAAGGTGTTAACAGTCACAGCTTATGAAACTCTCACTAAGTGAAGCCTGTGGAGCTATCGCTCCCTTCTTCTTCCCAGTGTCATTTCCATGTAAAGAAAGGGAGCTTACTTTCTAAACTCCTGTAATTTTCTCTTTGCCGATGGTACTTTAATTAGACTGCCTGCTATATACCTGATTTTCTTCTTACTGCCTTTCTTCTTCCCTTCTTTTCTCAAATATTGAGGGTTTACCAGTTGCCAGAGTTTCTTAAATAAAAACCCAAAGGAAACTAAGATTTATTCTCTGTATTTTTAAAACTCATAATATAGGAAAGACTAGCTCCTAAACCAACAATTGTAATAAAATACATTGACTGTCAAAATAAACAAATGTAATTGGAATCATATGGATTATCAAGGTTTTTATGAAAGAATTTACAGAGGAAGTTTAAACAGAAATGGAATTATTTTAAGAAAAGGCTTTTCCTTGGGGCACCTGGGTGGCTCAGTCCGTTAAGCATCTGACTTTGGCTTAGCTCATGATCTCACAGTTCGTAGGTTCGAGCGTCATGTCGGGCTCTGTGCTGACAGCTCAGAGCCTGGAGCCTGCTTCTGATTCTGTGTCTCCCTCGCTCTCTGCCCCTCATGCTCTGTTTCTCTCTGTCTCAATATTAAACAAACATAAAAAAAAAAAAAAGAAAAGGCTTTTCCTGTGTAAGGCTAATTAGAAGGCCAGTGCATCTGAAGTGTAAGCCATCTAATCGTAAATGCTGTAAAAGATGGAGGAACCATCCATGCACTAGTCATGAGAAAGGGATTTCATATGTTTTGTTCACCACCTTACCCACCATGTTCAGTATTGTAAATGGGACATAATGAGCATTCAATGAAAACTGCCAAAGTAATGAATGAATTAATGAATGAAGTAGCAAATGTAGAAAACAAGGAATAGAAATTAAAATTTCATGAAAATTCAGTACCAGTAAAATAAGGGTGATGTCTGACGGATCATGTGTGTCCGTGAACCAAATATCTAATACTGGGCCATGATTATAATTGTTCAGTTACATTTGCAGAAATTAATCAAAAGTTATCTCAGCAATAAAGCAATTTTGGTAAAATAGTTCAGTAACCAAATGGCACTGGTGTATCAGTATTGGCAGCAATACAGAAAACAGTACTTTTAGATATTTTTTCTATTATCAGATTTCAATTTATAATAAATTACCATACAGTTGAAGAGTATGTGTGTGTGTCTATATTTCTGGGTTACTTAGTTATTATTTAGACTCAAAAGCATACAGAAAGAAAGAATAGACTAATGAAACTACATGCCCATCATGCCTGTTTAACAATGATCAACACTATTCATGTTTCGTAATCCTCTTCCACTGTATTTATATAGTCTGGACCATTTAACATAACAGCAATAGTATCACAACATTAGCAATATCACAGAATTTGCCAAAATCCCTTAGTATAAAATTATTTCCTATCAATATCCAAAATTTTCCCATTTTAAAAATACTGTTTGGTAAAATAAGGATCTAAAAGAAGGCTATAACTTTGAATTTGGTTTGAGTTTGTTTATATGAATAACTATTTCCCATTTGCCTAGGTTTTTTGTTTGTTTGTTTGTTTTTTAATGCTATTTACTATTTGCAGAGGTCATTTGTTCTACTGAATGTCCCACATTCCGAATTGGGCTGACTGAATCCTAAGAAGGATAGCTTTGGTGCATCTAAAGTGACTAATGAGCTTTTCGTTTTTTAAGAGTATTATTATACACACATGTATTTTTATACATTTATTGTATTTCAATCCATGACAGTCATTTTTCTTTCTGATGTCCAAATTGTCTCTTTCATTGGTAGAAACCCCTTCAATTAGCTCCTGTGTATTCTGGACACTATACTCATAGCCTTGTTCTGGTTTAACAAGGTGTTAATGACTCATTTTGTCAATTTCCTTCTCAGACCTAGAACTGGATATTTCTAAAAGGAGTTTTGTTTCCTTTAATAGGAAAATGGTATTTAGAGGTGATTATATGAGCATTAAGGTTAGTCTATAATCTTGAGATCTCTTCAGTTTTAGAATTTTTAAGTAGCAGAGCTAAGAATTATATATTTTTAGAAAGAGAAAGACAAATCAACATCTCCTACTGATACTTTTGAATTTAATATTACAGAATTTTTATTTACATTATTTGTTCCTAATTTGTATCTCCTTTCTTTTACTTGAAAATTTTGAGTGCAAGTAATATGAAAATAACTAAGCATTTGATCTATCCTACTCTCAATATATACGAGTTCCAAATCAGTAAAACCAACATTATTAACAACAAGTATATGAACACAGTTTACGATTCCTTTGCATTTCCTTTTGTCCTTACGAAGCATTATACTGGATGTAGAGGCCAAATACTATATTTTAAAGTCATAAATAATTCTTCTGAGAATCAATCAATCAATCATTCAATCCTCTCTGTATATGCCACTGATGTGATACACAATTATGCTGATGCAATTTATAATTGTTGTTGCTGTTGTTGTTGTTGTTTTGGCTGGAATTAACAAGCTAATTATATTATCAGTTAACATCCTTACAAAAACTTATCCTCACAATGTTATCTTTTGTTCCTAATATGACAGTATTCTGTATGTAATTTGGTTTTCTAGCCATTTAGTTCACCTTTTCGTCTGCTTCTTTGTTTGTTAGTCAATTCAACCTGCAATTTTTACCTTTAGAAAGAAAAGAGGAATCAATTGTCTATAGTGTTTGTTAGACACTTCATTACTTACAGGCTATACTAAATAGATGTAAATGTAAATACCATCTTTAAGAAAGTTATTTTTGTTCCCTAGAGGCATTATCATGAAAATGTCTGTAATGGAGGTCTATCCAGCCATCAAAGAACTATATTCATGAACTTAGGGCATGAGATAAATGATGTTAATAAGGACATCAACATTCACTTGAATAAGATTTTGGATAATAAGTGTTTGTTTCTATATATGTACCTTGGATATTTAGTGAATAACATGGAAGATGAAATTATAAGCCTTAAACAGTACATATCTCCACCTCCTGATGTTTCACAGATTATACAGGGTCAGTGAAACACAGCTTTTAAAGAAAAAAGGGAACTATTTAATGGCATGGGTGAGTTTATGTGAAAAGTATCTGTCTGGGAAACATTTAATATAATTTTTGAATAAATGGATACTAAATAAATATGTAGTTAGGCAGTAAGAATTTAGCTTCCTTATGAATTAAAAAATCTGTTTTTTAAAATATTTTTATTTATTTCTAGGAGAGAGAGATAGACAGCGTGAACAGGGGAGAGTCAGAGAGAGAGGGAGACACAGACTCCGAAATAGGCTCCAGGCTCTGAGCTGGCAGTCAGTACAGAGCCCGACGAGGGGCTCAAACCCACGAACCGCGAGATCATGACCTAAGCGAAAGTCGGACGCTTAACCGACTAAGCTACCCAGGCGCCCCTTTAAAAATCTTTTTAAATTTTGTTTTGACTTGTTTGTGAATAGCCCCATGCATATAAATGGTATATTTCATTTTCTCCTAAGGGAACTTTGCAACTTCAAGGTTTAGGTTTTCTGGCCTTTAGGCGAGAAGTTAAATACATTTGTTTCCAAAATCTAGGCTCTTGAATGTGACGGACTTTTCCAAGATAGTGTGAGAATGGAGAATTGTCAAATTTTAATAAGAATACCAGAAGACTGAGAAAGAACTAATCTGTGTGGGTTCTGTAAATAGTAGAGACCTACGGTGTCTCACAAAGATGCAGGAAATCAGAGGATGACTAATGGTGTTTGACCGGAAACAGAGAAACATCTACAGCATCAGAGATCCTCACTAGATAAGCCTATAGTCAGTGAAAGGACCTTCATGAGGGCTAGGTAAGTATGTGTGCCAACCAGAAGAGCAGAGCTCTAGGAAGTCATTGTACCCTGGAAGGAGGCGGGGTGGTCACAAAGGACCAAAAAACTCATTTTTTCTTTATCTCTGACTAGGTTTGATTTTACCAGTGTTGTGTTCCCGATATTAACATGGAAAATCATTAACAGAAAATCATGAAGTGACTCTTACTGGACTTTTCTCTGATACTAGAAAGTAAATGATTAGAATTAAATTTAGATTTGATTGAAAAAATATATATAACCATGTGTCATATATTATGTTTAAAGCTTCATGGAGTGATTGACAGTTGCAACACAAATACATAGGTGCATAACTAATGAATTGTGTTAAGTATTACTAGTGTTAACACAATCTAAGTTTACAGAATCATCCAGAGATATTTTAAACTTTTTTTCACTTAAGCTGTGTGTACATAGACCTTATTATAAACGGGTTGTGATTCATCATCTAAGCAAAGCTGAACCTGTGATTTCATGAAAATTGATGACCCACATCGAAGTCTATAAGACTGTATCTATTGAAGAAAGAGACTGGGGAGAAGAGACTCTTTAAAATGCATAAAAATATTAGTCCTGACTATAAATACTGCAGCAAATTTATGAACAAATTCACAGATGGCAAAGGCATCAGCTATAGGGAATAGGGTTTCCAAACATCCTATTCCCAACCCAGCCATTCACCACTTGAGGTAAAACAGACTATAAAATTAACTGTCAAAAGTAGCACAAGAACTATTCCCTGTGCTGTGTGTGTGCGACACAGAGCTTAGATATAATACTACTTATCTCATTGTGTCAGGAGTAAAGGAGCATTTCAGAGCTGTCCATGGCACACTCACTGGATTGAATAATAATAATTATAAACGTGACTCTAAACAACTTTCTTTTTTGTTTGCTTTTGCAAAGTTGCCTACCTCATCGGAGCCATCTGCACAGTCAAAATCTCCATCACACCAGAACCTTGAAGAAACACAGTCCCCATTGGCACAGAGAAAATCTTTCAATGTGCAGGTCTGTGGCTCTGGGGACAGAAGAATAGCACAGGCTTATTCGATTATATGCAACTGCATTCTAAATTTATATGACATACAGCACGAGGTAACATTAAGAAAAAAGAGGTTAGCCAAGCAGAACCAACAAATTGTTTAGAAGAAGTGTTTCATGAAGCATCTATGGTACATAATATAATGATTTTTCAAATTTATTTTAAAGTCATGAATAGAAAGTAGCATTACAGAAACCAGTTGAACAAAAAAAGACAAAAGATAGCCTACTGCTTAGTAAAAATAAAACATTACAGTAAAATAAAACATAAGAATCTACGTATTACATAATAACAAATCGTTTCCAGCTGTTGGAATTCTAAGTCATTTTATGTATTTACTTTGAGACATTTTGTGACTGTATACTTATGGGGCTATTTATTAATTGAGTAGTAAGTCTAGATTTTGACTCTTAACTTTTATACTGTATTCTAATGACTTTATAATTCTTCAATTTTGTCCACAGAGAGTCTAGAGTTCATAAAACAAGAATACAAGGGAATAGTATTGGACATCACTCAGTGGGTAAGAGTTGAAAAGATAAAAGGCGATTCACTTTTTAAAAACTGCCTTTTGGGGCACCTGAGTGGTTCAGTCAGTTAAGTGTCTGACTTTGGCTCAGGTCATGATCTCATAGTTTGTTCGAGCCCTGCATCGGGCTGACAGCAGTCAGAGCAGAGCCCACATTGGATTCTCTGCCCCTCTCCTTCTCTGCCCCTTCCCTACTCTCTCTCTCTCTTTCAATAATAAACACTTAAAAAAAACCAAAACCCTGTTTCTTTGTTTATGCAAATGTTTGCTCATATCCTGCAGCATTTATCTGCCATTTTAAATAATTTGCCACTTACCAATTTAATTATGCTTCACCACAGTCCAGATAGGATATAAGCCAAATAGTATGACTTGCTAGTTGGCTTAACTCTGATATGGAATTTGTTTCTTCTGGACAATGAGGTAGGATCAGGAATTGATATGACTGCAAAAGATCATCTCTTGTTTACTTTGTGTTCTCTAAATAGAACTGGTATCTGGCATGAAGAGACCTTTCTGTTTATTCGTTAACTGTTTTTACAGCTGCCTTACATGCAATAATACTCTTACTCAAGTGAAGGAGGAATAATAGACATTTAATTTAAGGAGAATCCATATGAAGCCTAATTTTCTGCATAAATACTGTGACTAATTTGGCCCACATTTGATTACTGCTGTACACAATCTAGCTATAGGTAACATCAAGCATGCCTGGTGTCATGAAGGCTCTGACACTTCTATATAGAGATCTCTCCTGAGGTCATGATTTCACCGTCATAGGCTCAGGTTATGATCTCACCGTTCATGAGTTTGAGCCCTGCATTAGGCTTTGTGCTGACAGGTCAGAGCCTGAAGCCAGCTTCAGATTCTGTGCCTCCCTCTCTCTCTGCCCTTCCCCTGCTCACACTCTGTCTCTATCTCTCAAAAATAAATAAACATTAAAATACATACATATATATACACAAATGATGTGATATATCTCTCTCTCTATATATAGTCATGATTACAATATATAAAGAGTAATTTATATGTACATATAATATAGTTTTATTATAATTTTATGTATATAATTATAATAGTTTCAATAGATAATTTAAAAAAATGGGAGCTATTTCGATAACATTTTATACAGGAGAAGTATTTTTTCTATGGCTGACTTCTATCTGACCAATTTCTTGGTGCTTTATATAGCTGTATTGTATTCTTTTCTCTCTTTTCATAGACTCTACTTCTGTCCATATAGAACTGTTGACATTTTCAATGTTTGAACTTTCTCATTTCTTCAGGCCTATTCAGATAGTCACATCAAACACCACTCAACAATCTGGATCCCTTGAGCCTTCTTACACATTCTTACATGTTTTACATGTTATTATTTTTGATGCTGGTCCTCTGTATCCCTTCTATCCTTCCATTTTACAACGATAATATGTTTTATTCTTGTTCACTGTCCTCTCACCTCTGCAAATTCATCAATGTTGCTGTCTTAGGCCACATGCCCAGAGTAAATGGGGACTAAAAGTGAACCACACGTAACGGGGTATTTTACACTGCAAAGCTTGGTATTGCAGGCACTCTCTTGCTTTCTCTTAAGGGTTCCATGGCAATGACTCAAGTGATTTATCACTGTTTGCCCAGCGACAAGCGAGAAGCAATATTCCTTCTCCATGAGTTCTGGCATGAAACGCTGACTTTTAGGAGATGCCAGCAAAATCATACTCAACCACGGGAAACCCAGCAGACTGAGAAACAGGTCATCTACACCCTTCGTTCTTCTTCTCCTTCCCCAGCTATAGCAATAGCCTAACTTCTCATACAATTTCAACTACCCCTTGAATAACGCGTTTTCAAAGATGTAAGTTTCTAATGTGGCCTTCTCACATACCCTCTCTTGTTCTTGAAATCTTTCAGTCATAGAGCACTTCTTCTTAGGTATCTTACTGATAATTAAATGTACTGATAATACTAAATATATTCCAAAATAAGCTAAGTAGTTATCTGTATATTTAAGCTCTGAAATGGAAGTGAATTAAATAGAAAGTATACATATAATTGCTTCCTTTATGCATTTACTCTTCTATTCCTGCCATTCTTGCCATTCTTATTTTAATCACTGGGTAGAATCTGAAAATCTGCTATATAGAGTTTTTTCAAAGTTACTGATTAAAAGAATCCAGTACTCTAAGTAAGATCAATTGGGGTATATATGAAGAAGGAGTAATAAAAGGAGGCCATGGGGAGAACTATGGAAAGTGTAATATGTATTAGCATTTTGTTCTGCTCTGGGACTTACTTTACTCTAAAATGTAAACTTTAGGCCATGAATAAGACAAAATGCTTTTCAGTGGCATGAGAAAAAGCCACATAACAATACCCCGTTTAGTGAGGATGACAATAGCTGTTTCTCTTTTCGTCTTTGCATTATATTTATACACATCATCCCTTAATCTTAAAAACAACTGTATTAATATTAACGTTACTATTTCTAACAATAATAATTACTACCAACCAATTACTACTGATTGCTTATTTGTTGTTAAGCACTAAGTGAAATTAATGCTAAGTACTTGAATTAACTCAACAATTAATCCTAACAACTGTGTAAGGCAGGTTGTTATTATAGGACCCTTTTGCCAAAGAGTAAACTGAGGCACTGAGAGGATAAGGAACTTTCTCCAAATAACCTTATAGGCAGAAAAGCCAATACTGAACTTGAACCTAGACAATCCAATACCAGGGCCTGTATTATTTAATACTAGGCCAAATCATTGCCTCCCTTACTACTGAAGAAATAACAAGTGTTCACATATTACAGAGATAAAGCCCTGAAAATCCAAGTTACTTGTCCAAGGCACATGGCTAACAATGTCTACTTCACACTTAGAAATAAAAGTTTTCTGCTATCATTCTTCCATACTGAAGCCATTTCACCCTCCTGCTTACAAACATGCAGTTTTTTTCTTAGGGAAAATAAATTGCAGGGAAATTAATAAGTTAATTAATCAGTGCTCAATTTATTTAATAATGGAAAATAACAATCAAAATGAGTTTCATTAAAAATCAGAGCATTTTTAAACACATTATATTTAGATGTTTAAAACTAACAGCATTAGAAATATTGAATTTCATGTATTTGGAGGTTTCTCCAAACTTTTTTTCTTTAATATTCTAACTTGCCTTTATCCTAATTAAACACAAGTGTGTTCATCATGTGCTAACCAGTAATGACTTCGCAGACTCTGACACACTTTGCTATAGAGAGGGTTGGATGTTGCTGATCTAAGGTGATAACAAGTTCTAAAGTTCTAAAGTACCTCAAAGCATTTGCCCAATATTTCCACAGAACACTTATTCTATAAAGAGTTTGCTAATGTTAATTACTCTGTTTTAATATGGGAGCAGAGGAACGGTGTGATTTTTTGGAAAAAGTTTTTTTCAGTGCATATGAAATTATGTATGTTTCTAGCATGAAATGCCAGCAAAACCACTTCTGAATAATAATCATGAATTATTTATACATATACAAATGTCATCAAGAATGGGGTAGCTAGTCTGTTTTTAACTCTCATCTGTATGCCTCAGAATCTTTTGCCACTGGATGTCTCAAAAAGAAACTCTCTCTTGAGAAAAACATAATTTAGTTATAAGGGAAGGTCGTGAGGGATTATAGTCTCTTGTTGTTTCTTAACTTTGATCTTTTCTGGATAAAGTAAAAGGCCGATTTTTAGACGCTGGCATGATAGTTAGCATTTTTGTTAAAAAGAACAACAAAATGATCACACTTGGAAGATGACCCATTTGGAAAGAAAACGTGAATGTGAAATTCCCCCAGTATTTCCAAAATGTTTTTTATCACATTAACTTTTTCTGATATTGCCTGTGTCTACAGATTTAAAGTAGACAGGGAACCCTACACATGAAAAATTAGCTGGGTTTTCCATAAATCTCATCTAAACAGGCCAAATCAACAACAAAGAAGCCTTTACAGAGCATATTTTCGAAGGCTGATCTGCATTCCATAACAAAAATAAAAAATAGGGGTATTATATAGATAAAAAATTTCCTTCGATACTAAAGGAGGAAAAGCATACAGCTTCACAACTGAAAAGAACTTTGGAAACTATCTTGCACAAAATGGAAAAAACCCCACTAAGTTTAGAAAATAAAAGTGACTTTCAAAGCCACAGAGTTAGTGGCAGAGCAGAAAGACTTCCAGACTCCAATTTCTCTGCTGAGTATATTATCATAAACCCTTGGTGATAAGTTCAAAAGTTATATAAATGTGGGTGTAAGCATCTGAGGAGAATTTTTAGAATACAATTAGTATAACTGACATGCTATACAAATAATCTTCTGATATAAATTCAGTGTGAAAGTACTAGAAATTCAAATAAGGCAGACACAGCTTGTCTCTCTACAAAAAACCATAATCTGGTTGATCAAGTTATCTGGTGCTTTTAAATCCATTTGATTGTTAGTTACTTCTTAATAAAGAAAAGATATGAAATAATTGATTTTGCACATCAATTACTTAGAAGGTATACATGCCATATACATTACATTTATTGCTGATAAAGATAGCATAGATGCTAAGATTTGTCAGGTATTTCCAAACCTTTGATACAAAGTAACTCCAATGACAATAAAATTTTCTTGTCTCTTTAAACCTTTTTTTTTTTTTTTTAATTTATTATTTCTAGGAGAGAGAGAGACAGCGTGAGCAGGGGAGCGTCAGAGAGAGAGGGAGTCACAGACTGAAACAGCCTCCAGGCTCTGAGCTGGCATTCAGCACAGAGCCCGACGTGAGGCTCGAACCCACGAACCGTGAGATCATGACCTAAGCGAAAGTTGGATGCTTAACCGACTAAGCCACCCAGGCGCCCCAAATTTTCTTGTTTCTAAGAGCATAAATTATCGTTTGAGCAAAGTGCCCCTGCTGAACACTTAACAAGGGAAACGATCAGTAGATGATGAAGAAATGACAATGGACTAATTATGCTATATGAGGAAGTATATTAGATTTAAAACATAGCTGGTAGTTAATTGCTCCACTATGATTCAAACTCTTCCCATATCTATGCCTGGGGTGTTTCCCACACAATTTAAAAAGTAAATTCTTTCAGATTCATAAACACAAGAGTCCCAAAGTGATTTTAAAAATACATGGCTAACATTATAAATGTGTCAGGCCCTGTGCTGGACCCTGAGAAATAGCCCTACTCCTTACACTATGTGCAGATATTTAAATAGGAACTCAGATAAATGTGATAAAGAAATGAGTGGATCAATTGAATGCTAGTGAGTGTTGGTTGATGGAATGTGGTCACAGAGAAAAATAAGAATAAAACTACTGTTGTTTTTAACTCTGAGGCTAATTTACTATCTCTGCTCTATTCCACTAATAGAGTTAATTCCATTAATAACTGCTAACAATAATTGCCCAAATGTGAACCGAAATGCATACAACTGTACTAATGATATTTAGAAAATATGGTAACATTATACTGCTGTCCTTTGGGGTGTACTTTTATCATCTATATATATTAAAATTAAATATGTATGTGATGGGGGCACCTGGGTGGCTCAGTCGGTTAAGTATGTATTTGGCTTTGGCTCACGTTATGATTTCACTGTTCATAGGCTCAGGTTAATAAAAGTTCCCAAAATCAGAGTATTCCATAGTCATAATGATCCAGAGATTTCACACTTAATGTATCTGATCTTCAAACACAAGTCAAATTAAAGTTCAAAAGTTATTTTTAGAAAGTTGATATTTTGCAAACTGGATATCCAAGTGGTTTATGAAGGCTATGACTCAACTAATTATATTCTTTTATATAACATATTCCTATGCTTTAATGTAACAGTTTCTATTTCATCTCCTGTATCTTAGGCAATGAATGTTCTTAGTCTAATGTATAAGATTAAATACTACTGGGGGGCATCTGGGTGGCTCAGTTGAATAAGCATCCAACTCTTGGTTTCAGCTCAGGTCATGATCTCACAGTACGCGGGATCAAGCCCCTCATTGGGCTCTACACTGAGTGCGTAGAGCATGTTTGGGATTTTTCTCTCTCCCTCTCTCTACTTCTGCCCCTTCCCTTTCCAGTCCCTTCCCCTCACTTTCTCTAAATAAATAAATAAATAAATAAATAAATAAGAGTAGATACTTTTGGTATCATCAAATCCTTTCTGGAAGTAGCAGTATGTAAATATTTAATAAATGGAATTTGATTATTATCTTATTTTAAGCATGATTATATTGCCTTCTTTGTTTAAGTGCTGGTAAGAAATATATTCAGAAATTAATGCTAGAATATAAAGATTCTGTCAGAATTTTACATGCGGCATTACTTTTTAGAAAGTAAAATTATTGGACAATTATTGTCTTTTAAGTTTATTACATAAAAATACAGGAGGCAGATGATGAATAAAATAAAATAGTGTTACTCTATTTTCAGAAAAAGGCATCCTGAATACATATGGTATTCTCTACTCCAGAGAGAATAAATGATATTTCGCTGAAAGATGCTCTTGGGTAAATCTGTAGTGTAAAAGGATTTGAGACTGAAATGAAATGAATACCATCCGTTAAAGAATGATATGTTTTGTGCTGTCTCCACATCATTCAGCTCTTTGTATGAACTTGCATCAAGGGCTTACTGTGTTGCATACTAATGGGTTGCATTAAACCTCATGATACTTTCATACCAATTCTGATAACTATAAGAAAATAACTTCCAGTATGAACATTTCAATAATTCTACCATTTGAGATTCAGGTCAGTTTAGTCCGAATGTTCTCGTCCAAATGTGAATGCATGTATAAAACTGTGGGCTGTAGGACAGTTAGGTTCAAATTCATACCTTAACCGAACTAAATACTGCTTTCCTGCTTATTGAATATGTTGTCTTGTTCACAGTGTTCTCAAGCAAGAGCTACTTACTACAGTTTTCTTCATCTGAATTATCACTGCAGTCATTCTGGCTATCGCACCGCCAGTGATCTGGAATACAGTTGTTGTTTTTACACTGGAATTCATGAGGTCCACAAGTCTTTTTGTCTGTAATAGAAAGAACCAGAGTTTGCATCATTGACTTCTATGAAGACATCCCTTATGATATCCTTACTGCCATGCCAAATTCAGGGCATACAGCATTTCCTCAGACCTTAATCCAGTTACTAACTGAGAAGCATCCCTAGGAAAAATTGAAGTTAAGTGTTAAATAAAATTCATTATACTGTCTTATTTTATGTTGTCATCAGTCATGCTTTCATCACTAGCTAATTATAAAACAATTGATTGGCCCACTCAAAGTCAACACAAATCCATCAAAAAAATCAAAACTATTAAGAACTACCATTTTCTTTAGGATATTCCCTCCCTAAGCCAGCTTTTATTTCTTCTATAAGGCAGGAAAAAATAAATGGTTACTAGTCAGACTCTTAGGTTGTCATCTTATCTTCCTCCTTAAGAATTTATTACTCATAATCAACCTATCAACTGATCTAAACTCATAGATTATAATAGAGCCTAATGTGTACAGAAATTTGAAAATTAATGAAGTATCATCTTACTTGGTTTCTAAACAATGCCAATGAGTAAAAGGACAGGTATTAATTAGCCTTTCACTTTACAAATGACAAAACAGAGACTTAGAGTTTAGAAGCCTGATGAATTTTTACTACCATTAAATGGCACTTTCAGAGTGTGTGTGTGTGTGTGTGTGTGTGTGTGTTTACTCCTGCTTTAGTGCTCTTTACAACAACCCTGTGTCCAGAATTGAGCCAGAATCAGAATTCATGCAATAAGAATATATTTAAAGCTTAGGTCATATATTCTTAAAATTTCACAAGAGTAATAGCTAACTGTATACAGTCTAAAGCAGTGCTTCTAAAACTTTAATGTACATACATATAAATTACTTCAGAATTTTGCTAAAATGGAGACTATGATTACGTAGATCTGGATTTCTAAGAAGCAGTGATAACACTGTCCTTGGTCTATGAAACACACTGATTACCAAGGGTCTGAAAGCTAAAGATAGATTGAATTAAATAATATAACAATAATAAAATTGTAAATGGTAATGTACAATTTAGGACACATTCCCCTTTCACAGACTTATATTGACTCTTTATTCTCAGCTGTATTAGAGATGGACAGTGAGTTTAACAACTCAAACTAGCAAAATAGATTAAAGGAGAAGATAAGCGATTTGGTGGTGATTGCTATTCTTTCCTTTAAAATGTGTCTTATAAACTTCAGGTAAGATTATGAAAGAAAGAGTGATTTAGATATAATTGGAAAATTAAATAATGAACATCTATTAAGGATCCAGCCTACCTCTTGGCTAAGCATTTTCATAAATGTGATCATATTCAGCCTTCATAACATACCTAAGAAGTATTATATCCACTTGAATGAATGAGAAAAATAAGTTTCAGAGAGTTTAAGCAATTTCTCCACTATTAAAAAAGTATTAAATGGCAATGGAAAAATTTATATCCAGATCTCCCTCCATAAAAATTTCTGTAGAAATTCTCATGATCAACTTCAAATTTTTCAAACTTTTCAAAGTTTTCGACAGATAGATAATCCTTCTATATTTCTATATATAAAGAGCCTGTATTTTCCTTCCTTCTTCCCTCCCTTTCTTCCTCCAGCCTACCTTCCTGCTAATGATTAGTCAGTACCTAACTTGTGTCACTGTGTTGAGTGCTGTGTTTTGTAATATGTCTTTTTTGCCTGTGTTACACATTAAATTAGATTTTAAAATTGGCTTAAAATCTGTCAGTTGCCTTTTAGTGTTGTTGATTGTTTCCTTTGCTGTGCAGGAGCTTTTTATCTTGATGAGGTCCCAATAGTTCATTTTTGTTTTTATTTCCTTTGATATCGGAGACTGGTTTCCATTTGATATCCAGATGAAACTGGAATGTACTGTGCTAAATGAAGTAAGTCAGTCAGATAAAGACAGTATCGTATGATTTCACTCATATGTGGAATTTGAGAAACTTAACAGAAGACCATGGGGGAAGGGATGGGGGAAAACAGTTTCAGAGGGGAGGCAAAGCACAAGAGAACAAACTGCAGTTTGATGGGGGAGGGGGAAGTAGGTGATGGGCACTGAGGAGGGCACTTATGTGGATGATCACTGGGTGTTGTATGTACGCAATGAATCACGGGAATCTACTCCCAAAACCAACAGCACTGTATACACTGTATGTTAGCTAACTTGACAATAAATTATACTTAAAAATAAAATTAAGTAAATAGAGAAAAAAATAATAAAACTGGCTTAAAATCTGCAGAAGTCTAATATAGCATTCTGCACATTTCACTCAGTCAAGAAATGTGTTAGGATGATTGGGATTTCAATAATGACCACTGAAAATAAGGGTTTGGTCCTGAACTTTGTATATGGTCGTTTCATTTTAGCAATTCTCTGAAACCATTACTCTATGTTTATATAAGATTAGTTTTATTTCTTCCTCTCTCTGTGTTGCTTGCATTATTATTAAATATTGTTGTAAAATTTTAGAATATAAGAAAGTAAGAAAGATCAGACTGGATCAAACAGACTATGCAACCTAGAATTACATTAGCCCCTAACAATTCTCCATGGCTATGAAAGGTTCACATTTGGTACTATCAATACAATAAGTGTTTTTGAAGTTTTTTTTCCTAATTCTTATTGGTACTTTTTTTTCTATGTTTAAATATTTGTATCATATTTTATGTTTGAAAGAGATCTGCCCATATTTTATATCTTAACAAAAACAAGTTACGGTTGATTGCTAAGATTTCCAACTGGGGCATACAGAAACAGCAAGGCTATTCAAATTTTATGTTTCTGAATTATTATGTTTTCCATATATATTCCAAATGACATTGCTTATAAAAATTACAAATACAAACTATATAGACTGTGTAGGCTTTGTTCTGCATTTATAGTTTCACTCGAGGAAATTAAATATAAGTATAAATATATTTTAATAGGAAAATGTATGAGCAAAGTAAAACAGCAATTCTCAAATTAGCTACACATTAATATCACATGGAGAACTTAAAAAATCCCTTTGCCAAGTCAATATGCCACATCAATAAAATCGGGTAGAACCCAGATATCAGTATTTTATTAAAGTTAGCCAGGTGATTCCAATGAGTAGGTAAGATTGAAAATCACTGGCCCAAAACCCTAACTGTAGAACAGAACATATATAATTCTACATTATTATACTCTAAAATAATTAATAAAAAATGATCATAAGATGTAGGAGTTTTCTATTTATTCAAATTATTAAATACCATTGGAACAATGTCGTATTTTCTGGGGGGGTATTATAAGAATGGAGAAAACAGAATATTTGAAAAATTTGTTAAATTTAATATGTTTCCACATGAAATACAGATACTACTACAAATTTGATCCTCCAGGTGGAGTACCAAAATGTAAAACTATGTAGTGTATACTGTGATACTATTGCCACTTGTATATGCACGGGTAATTTCTGGGAAAAAAAAAAATCTGGTGTCTCTGATGTTTTTGTGAGCAATAACTGGAGAAGTAGGCTGGAATACAGGAATGGAAGAGAAATTAGTTTCTCTTTATACCAAAGAGAAAAGTTTCTCATTATACCAAAATAAATCCAAAGGGATGTACAAACTACTGGAAATAATAAATGAATTTGTAAAGGCCGTAAGATACAATGACAATATATATATTTGATTATATTTCTCTGCATTAACAATAACCAAAAATGAAACTAAAAAAAGAAAATTTTTACAAGGGCATCAACAAAATTACAAATATCTAGGAATAAAACGAGTGAAATTTGTGTAATACCATCATATTGAAAATTAAAACACTACTGAGAAAAAAATGAATTAATGCCTAAGAAAATGCAACAATATATCATGCTCATGGATTAGAAAACTCAAAATTGTTAAAATTTTCTTCAAATTAGTATAAAGAATTAATGCAGCCCCCATCAAAATTCCAGCAAGTTATATTTGAAGAAATTGATTATCCTTAAATGTGTTAAAATGTAAAGGATGGAGAATAATCAATCAATACTGAAAAAGAAAAAAGTGGGAGAATTTACAGTACCTGATTTCAAGAGTTAATACAAAGCTATAATAATTGGGAAAATGTAGTATTAAACCAAATGAAACTAGAAATATAAACATACATGTATGCTCAATTTAATTTAAACAAAGGCTCTAAATCAATTTAATGGGCCAAAGAAAGTTCTTTTTAGCAAATATTGCTGAAATGATTGGTTATCCATAAGAAAAACATAAATCTCAACCAATTAAATTCCATAGAAAAAAATTAATTTGAGATAGGGCTCAGTCAGTTAAACACCTGACTCTCGATTTTGGTTCAGTTCATGATCTCAAGGTTTGTGGGTTCAAGCCCCACATTGGGCTCCATGCTGACGGTATAAAACCTGCTTGGGATTCTCTCTCTCTCTGTCTGCCCCTCTGCCAAATGAATAAATAAACAAAAAATTAATCTGAGATGGTCATAAACATAATGAATATGGAAAAATATTTTCATAATCTTTGAGTAGGAAAATATTTCTTGGAGATAACACAAAAACATTAATAATAAATACAAAATTAGTAAACTGGGCTTCAAAAGAATTAAAATGTTTTCTTCTTTAAAAAGTATCATTAAGAAAATGAATCAGTAAGCAACACATTAAAAAATATTTACACCATATATATCTAGGAAATTACTTAGATCCAGAATATATAAAAATTCCTATATATCTTACACATTAGCAGACAAAAGACTTGAAAAGATGCTTTACAAATATATGTGAATGGCAAATAAAGGTTCTTAAAGTCATTAATCATAAAGGGAATGCAAATTCAAACCACAATGAGATACCATTACATACTTAATGAAATTTCTCAAATCAGGGGCGCCTGGGTGGCTCAGTGGGTTATGCATCCAACTTCGGCTCAGGTCATGATCTCACGGTTCGTCGGTTCGAGCCCTGGATCAGGCGTTATGCTGACAGCTAGCTAAGAGCCTGGAGCCTGTTTCAGGT